ATATATATATATATATATATATATAAAATAATTTACGAAGAAATTAAGAAAAAAAATGATGAAAGAAGATAATTCCTCCACAGTCCTTTATTATTTAATATTGAAGTGAAACAAAAAATGAGAAAAGTACTTGTATTTCTGGTGATCTAGATCGCATTGATCATTAAAAAAAAAAAAAAACGAAAAAAATTAAAAAAAAAGGATAAAAAGACAAAATAAATGTATCCTTATTTTTAGGTCACAACTACTCGATTCGTTTCCTTCATTATACCACAATGGACCTCTCGTTTCAGCAAGCCTCATCTCTCTTTTTTGCGTTTGATAGCATCTAGATACTTTGCTATGGGAATATTTCATTATGTCTCTGTGTGTGAACGAGAACCACTTAACATATCTTTGACTTTTCTCTCGCTCTTATATCCTTGGAAACTTTTTGACGAAAAAAAAAAAATTTTAGACATAGGTTACAAGAAAGTATACACACGGTGTTATTATATACTTGTTAATTAGAAACTTTCGCTCTCCGTTGAACGAATTCGAAAACAAGCAGAGAACTATAAAAAAAAAAAAATAAATAAATAAATAAAAAATCTTAAGCGCATATTGGATCTATGTGAACTGTGGTGTTTCGTGTCGGGATATACATATATATTTCCACTCGCTCTTTATTATAATAAAAATAAACGAAAAAAAAAAGGATCGTCGAACGCAGTTCCTTTTTTCTTTTTTTTTTTTGTAAAAGTGGTCGTTAGTACATATTCAACAGGCATCTGTATCTAAATGCTTCCAAATCCGCTTCGTTTCATCGAACACCAAATATCTAGCGATTAAGTCTCTTACGTTACGAAGACTCTATTCCAGTATTTAACGTAATAGTAATTTTATAAATCCGTGTCGCAACCTATTTATTGAAATGATGAATTTTCGCGCGCTGAGAAGATTATAGAAGAGATAGAGGAAAACCGGCGCAAGAAAGCTCTCGTTGCGAACGTTTAAAATATCGAGGCCAATGCCAAATCTCTTATCGAATAATAACCGAAGCGTTAGCTCTTCTAAATATTTAATTTAGCGATTCCCTTCGATCTTTGTTATTGAAATACACACGTTGTTGTTCTTAAAAAAAAAAAAAAGAAAAAAAACGAAATCGTTTATATACATCACACTTGTTTGCGCAGATTACGCCGAGCACGTAATAATATTGCCTCTCCACCGAGCGTTATATTTATTTCAATATGTATATACATATATATACATATATGTATACACATTTTTAAACTTAAGGTCGAGAGGAAGTTAAGTTTTCGTTCGGCCCGCGCTAATTACAAAAAAGTTTGTTGCTTCAACAACAACTAAAAAGCAAGGAGATAACGTTGTGCGTTGCAAAAATGAGACTTTTTATTCTGTCAAAGTGTATTATTATTAACACGAGAATGCTCTGTAGGTGTTTTTCTATTTTCACTTTTTTTTCCTTTGTACGATTGTATTCCGCAATCAATTTCGGTATAATACTCATTAAATTTTCAGAGTCTAATTGAAACATTGTTTCTAGTGTATGTAAGTATGTTCCCTCTGCCGTAATTCAAAGACGTTTCCTCACTTCTTGTCGTACATTAAAATAAAAGCGGCACAGTTTGTATAAAAAAAAAAAAAAAAATGTTGATATATTAAGTTAATAAATTGTTCCTATATACTCATATAGGAGCAAACTGATGTTTATTTATAATACAAGCAATTTTATCTCCCCGACAACGACGAGCAATAACGAGCGGGCTTTCGAGTTATATAACTGGCAATTATATTGTGCATCGGTGGCAAACGAATCGTTCGGCGCGCATATGAATTGAAACCGCACATTTCGATTTCATCGGTGTAGCCACCGAGACATCGGACTCTGAGATACGGAGATTTTTCATTTAGCAATGAAAACACACTGAGATAGAATTTTTTTAAAAATATATTATTTATCATCTTTTTTATAACGCGTGCAACGTAAATAACAAATTTCGATGATACACAGATATGATTCGTTAGTGTGACATTCATTCACGGCACACATTGCTTCGGCGTGACTTTAAAGCGCACGCAAACCTCCTTCATCAAGTTTTTCAATATTCGTGCCTGGTGATCGGAGTTCTGAAAAATTTATACGTACGTTTTTGATATTTCGTTGCGACATTTGACGTTAAAACGAAAAAAAAAAAAAAAGAAAGCCGCTTACCCCATCGAGAGTGATCGTCGGTATGAAAGACACCGACGGCACGAGCGAGTGCGTCATCTCTCCGTACTTGGCCAGGAGTTCCTTTCCCCTGTTTGTTTCCGAGCACTTTGTGATGGACTCCAGATCGACGGTTATCCGTTCGGCGCAGATTTTCAATCTCCCCGTCGGATCGGTGTTGCTCTCGATCATACAAGTGACGAACTGCAACCGTATCGTCGGGTCCTGAATGACGTCGATCGAACACGCGTGTATCATGTTCGCTTGACACTCGACGGGCCCGTGTTGGCACGTGAATTTGTATTCATTGTTCGATTTCGTCGTCTGAAATTGAACGTGCGACAAAAATTATCTAAATTATTATTATTCTATTTATCTAGTTTATGTGTATAAATTGTGTACTTTACAAAAGAATTTTTTCTCTGTTTATTTGCGCTGGCAAAAAAATACAAAATATACGAAACGTGAAAACGAACGAGAGTTTCTCACCTGAGCCTTTCCGTATGGCACCAGCACAACATCTATGTTGTCCTTAAGTTTGGTGTACGTCGGTCCCAATTCCCGTATAACGAAGCTGCGCGAATCCGGGCACAACGCTTCGTAATACACGGCCACTTGTACCTTTTGCTCGTTTGAATCATCCTTCAGACTCGCCGACGTTACCGCTTGGTCCGCCTGAAATTCTACGCAAGGTTCACACAAGATTCGGACAATATTTGCAGATTTTTGCAGAAAAAATTTATCACAAGCGCGCGTGACATCGCGTAGATATAAAAAAAAAAAAAAAAAATTATAAAAATTATAAAATATTAAAACTTAATCATTTTAGTTAAATTGTCTTTCGGAGTTAAATAATTCCGATACTTGCAAATTACGTAAAATTGCTTCAGCGTTTTATCGCTCACATACGACATTGATGAATTGCGTGTGTTGAGAATAGTACAATCTCATCGCGCGCGTATCTAACCCACTTTTTACGCTGTATTTTTAACCATATTGATTTTTTTATTCTAACATATTTTCATACACATGCAATTAACTTCCAATGTATTTCTCGTTGTATAATCACACCTTTTTCCTCTCACAACAAATTGTTCGCAAAACGTCGATTTGTGTGTGCACAATTAATGTTCCGTCTCTTCCAAGACGCAACAAAAACAATTGCAATTCTCACGCCAAGTGAGTTTAAATGCGATAAAAATCAGTGTGCGAAACCATGGTGCGAAACGTCATGATAAAGAGGTGTTACGCGATTCGGCCTCCGCGGCATACGTTGAAACGACAAACGTAAGCGGCTCACGTGTGCAAAAAACCTTCTCGAGTACCTTGCGTGGCGGCGCCGTCTTCCAAAAACGCCAACCAGATCTTCGAGGTCTGCCAGAGCAACAAACTGACAAGGAATATGATCACGAGGCGCCATCGGAAGCTTCCTAACCCCATTGTTCCCGCTCTGTTGTTTGCCCCGTGAGGCACGCGCGCGACTTGTTCGCGCGACGACGACCTCGTTAGTGCGAGGTGACGCAACGTTTCCCTAATGTCAAACTTACCGCCGGCGACGGCATAGCATCACGACGAGTGCACGTTAAACGCGCTACGTCGTCGGTCAATCGATCCTGAAGAGTCTCTCATCTCACCTCGGCCGTGCGTTATCTTTTATATTCAACGGAATTGTGACCATGTTGAAAAATAATCTAATCTCTTTCCATTGGATTTTTTTTTAATATCGCACGCAGTCGGTTGTGTATCGAGACGTGCAATCTCTCGTATCGCACGAGATTTAAAATTCTTCAAATTTTGTTTTCAATTTTTCTCTCATTTTTCTCCTTACATAACACCGAAAGAAATTTAATTAAAAAAATCTTGCGTGACTTTTTAAAATATATATATTTTTTTCGTGAAAACACGTAAAAGCGTAGTGTTTTTCCGTCCAATTTCACTTCGTAATCGGAATTTCTTTCCGCAACAGTATTGCCACTCGTCAGAAACGCATTTTGACCAATCGTGCGCAAAATTGATTCATTAAAAAACAAATTTTTTGACTTTACTTTAGTCACGTGTCTTTAAAAATGTGACTACGGTAAGGTCACGTGACTTTACTTTAGACACGTGTCTTTAATTGCATCTTACTACAGTCTAAAAAACATAAATCACAGTGAAAAATATCCAAATCGGTGAAAAATTTATTGCCTGTACACACAGGGACATGTAAGATAAAATTGTACTATAATTACACTATAATTATGACTTATAAATAAGTTTTTTTCTGTTTACAGTCTAGGTCTTTTTAGATCTTTCCTCCTTGTTAAGCTCGGATAGAAACGATCTGCATTTGTTTCTAAGCACTTTGACGGCTTCTAAGAACAGCTCACTCGGTGGTAACGCACCCACGGATTCTATAGTGACTAAAAATCAAGATATATATATCAGGAAATATGTTATTTATGATACTATTTGTTTCTTTTTACTAATACTTACATATAAAATGATCCTTTATTCGACTTAGTTCCACGCAATCCTTCAAATGATCGTACTGATAGACATTTCTCGCACAACTATCGTAACGAGCGTTCTTCACGCGCGCCTCGCGATATTTCTGGCCCGAATTCGTCTCTTGTTCTACCACTTCTATCACACCGGGACTAAAACACTTCTGCAGAAGAACCGCGTTGTCATCTTTCACGGGCTTGGTCAGACGGATGGCGGGCATCATACGATACGACGCAGTAGCTATCAAGTGTATATAAAATTTTCACATTACGCAATTGACACACTTCGGACCGATTTAAACAATTTATGAAACATTTCTCAGATACCAGAAATGATGAGCTATAGTTTAAAGAAAATATGATTTGCGAAAGCCTCAACGCACCCACGGGAGAAAATTTGGCATGATCCCGTCCGATACCCTTAACTGCCTCCATGAACGCGTGGATCTGATGACCAGGACGCATTTTACATATTAATATATCGTTCTCTATCACACCAAACTGTTCCGCTCCTTGCGGGAACATTTCTGCCTGCTGGCCTATTGGAATCCACTTAATGTCTTTGCTGTAGACTGTAAGAAATAATGCATTCAACAGAGATTTCGTTCGCGTTGTTTCTATTATATAATACAAAATCTCTCTCTCTCTGTTCAAATACCTTTGCTGTTTTTGTACATATCTTCCGGAAGACGAGAAAACTTCGGAGCTTGAGGATTCACAGTACAAGATACCTTTAATTCGTATCTGAGAGTGTCGTGGTCACTGACTTTATCATCGGATTTTGCTTTTTTTGAAGGATATTCGAATAACCGAGGATCCGCCCGAAGAGGTACAAGTCCCAATCTTAAAAACAATACACGCACAAAAATGTTCACAAAAATCAAAATCGATACAATCGTCAATCGGCCTCTCTCACCTGTGCGAAAGCACTTCGTCTTGTATCAGACTAGAGTTGTTGATCATGTATACTTTCTCTATAGCCATAGTCGGCACTTCGCTCAGAAGTATTCTACGGAATGCATTAACCAACGAGACGTCACAACCAATTAAATCGAATTCCAATTCTCGTTCTTCTTCGTTTATTATCTTTATCTTCAGTTTCTAAAGTAAAAAACAAAGAAAAACATTTAGAGACAGCGGCAAGCTGTAATAGTTTTGTTTTTGAGATATATCTTACCTTCAGTAACTTTTCCAGCGCTGTTAACTTGTCCGTGTTCAAGTCGTATTCGTTAATCTAAAAAAAAAACAAACAAACACGTGTATTATTTTGTATCAATTATTAGCTAAGTGGTTTTTTGTAAACACTCTCGTCAAACCAACATTTTGATGCTGCCCCATAATCAATCGAGACTCCCGTTTTTGTTTTTCCATTGTGTTCAAATTTGACACTCCAACAAAACACCGAGAATTTGTAATATTCAACGAATACAGCCAGTACCGGCACGTGAGCAGCAAGCATGGGTAGAAATCATCAGCTGTTGGGAGTGTTAGGACGCGTCAACACGTAAGGGTCATTGCACGTGAAAACGTGTCAGTCGCAGGGCAAATCAACCAATCACGTAGACGAGCGCTAGTGAAATGTAATTGGTTGCTAAAATCTTAAGTTTTCTTCGTGTGTTCCCGGCTTAAGTTAACATACCGTGAAATTAACCGCCATCTTCGCCATCTTGAATCTCTGTTGCAGCAGACGTTTAATTCCCCTCACTCCTCAATTGTCACATTCCATTCTGCTCATTGACGTGGGCGTGTTTTTATGTCATGGCTTGAACATTTTAAAAATCCAATGTGCCGAGAAGCTTGACGATTATGGTCGATTTGGACGAGTACAGGAGACGCGTGAAACAGATCAGAAGATACGCAGCCGCCCATAATGTCTCGGAGGCACAAACGTCGGAAATATTTCAATCCTGTTTCCGACAATTGGAAGCAAAGTATCCGAAAGAAACAAAAAGACTGTCGAGACTTTCGCTACTCACTTTTTTACTCATTTTTATCGTAGTCGTAATTTTATATCGAAGCAATCAGAGATGGTTGAACAATGCGTTTGTAAAAATCTCGCAGAATTCCATTTATCCCGCTTTGTACGTACTGCGCAAAGTAGCGGTACCCATTGTCAGCTTATATCCATCGTTATCTGGTTAGTTGTTTGCCAACAAACAAACGTCATGGTGATATTGATTTTGATATTGTACACGCTTGTATGTTATTTTACACATATCATCATTTCAGACTTGTACGACGAATGGTGCTTGATAGAAAATCCGTATTTCTATATTAACGAGATGGATTGCTGGCATTGTACGATGGTTCATTCCGTACCCGATCTTACTGGTCATAACATCAGTAGATCCTTTAATATCGAAATACCGTACACCAAAGCTGAGAATAATACAAAAATCAGAATGAGAGATTTAACGAATATGTATTGGCGTAATAGCAAGATCTTTGATCAAGATGCTAGAAGAATTTCTTCTAACAACAAAAATTTTAAGTGAGAACAGTAGAGCAGAAATTAATAAAAAAAAAAAAAAACTTCAACCTTGATGATGTAAAAAATTGTCTAAATACTCTAACAATTTCGTAGAGTCATCCGTGATGTTATGGAAAACAGACTGGATATGTATCCGACCAAGTTACTTGATACTCACGTGTCTTGGAGAATAAATCGCATGGAACCCAACAGAATACTCCGAAAGTTATTCCCAAAACCAGTCGAAACTCCGAATTGGTGGAGTCAGGGCACGGAAAAGTATATTTTTATTGACGAATCAAGATCACCTCCTTACACAGTGGTGAGAGAATGATTCTTATTATAATTTGAGTATATATATATATAAAGAAAATCCAGATTAATTCGCAGATTTTTAGCCTAATCCTGAGTGCAGCAATATTGTGATACGATGTGCCGCCGGTGCAAGATTGATAAAAATGATACCGAGCTCAGAGTGCGCTCAACATTGTAGATCTTCGATCATTTTATTGTCCGCAGGACACACACGTGAGTATTATGCGTGAAGTTGTTTCCTTTTATTACATGATCTTGCATTTTTTTAGTTGTTTCTTTTTGTTTTTAAGTATGGTACAATTGGTGGTATTGGAGACCCGTAAGTCTGCCGGTGTATAATGCTACCGATCTCTCTGTCAGTTATCTAACTTCTTTTTGCTAGCGGTAAAAAGAATCTTGTGTTGTGCCAAAGCAAACGTAGCTAAAGAACGATCAAGATCGTGTTTACATAGATTTTTATTTATTTTAATCTATTCTCACATGATGTTGATAATAGGTTTTGTCTTTTTTTCTCGCATATTTAAACCTGAAAAGTACATTTATTTATTTATTTTTTATTTTTTTTTTCTATTCCAACAACGCGTGGAATAAATCTCATCTCGCTACCAACACACACAGAATGTTTATCTGAGATCATTTTGTCTGGCATATTGTCTAAAGTGTTTAGGCGTATTTGTAACAGTAATAAGTCGCAGGGTTTTTTTTCCTTATCTTCCTCGTGTTGAGTTGATTTGTAAACGATATAGTGCCACGTATAATCTCTACTGAAAATATACATGTACAAAATAAATTACAGCATTAATAAATAAGTTACGTGTAAATTGTGCTTCACGGGAATTCACTGCATTTTCGCGCATTTAAATGCAAATATAAGGATTTCACGCACGGCGCGATTTTTCAATAACCGGCACCGCGTGCTCTTGATAATTCCGTTTGCACCTGTCGCAATTGTCCTTTTAAATTCCCTAAAATAAATCCGTAAACGAAAAGTGTCGGAAAGTTTCCTTCCTTTCTTGCGCGATATCGAAAAATGTCACCCTGAGAATATTCCCGATCGATCGTCTCGGCGTTTTACTCGAGCTTCTGCTTGAGTTTCTGCTTGTACAGCACGGGCAGTAAGGATAACAGCGCGAATGCGCAGAGTATGATCACACTGTTCCACGACCACGCGTCGCTCGACGACGTGAGCTCGTGCAACGTCTGGCCCGCTTGTATCGCGACGAATGAGGGCGGCGCGACGCCGAAGAAAGTGCCGAGGGTGAACGGCATCATCGGCACGCCGATCACGGGACTGGCCAGATTGATGAACCAGTTCGGCAGCAACGGCGTCATCCTGAGAAACAGCATGTAATTGAACAGGTTGTCGCGGTGCTTGGTCACCGTGACCGTCCACTTGTTCGCTTTCTCCGGAAAGTATCGGTACAACAGCCGTCTGCCTAGTAACGACGACAGCAGGTAGCACAAAGTGGCGCCGATTGCGCTGCACGTGCACACGAGCAGCAGCGCAACCGAGAAGCGAAATAAAAATCCGGATAAAATCGAGAGAAAAATAGATCCGGGAATGGCAAACGTTTGCAAGCTATTGAAATATGATGTAAGGAATATAAATACTGCGGTTCTGACAGAAAAAAAAAAAAACAAGTAAAAAAGAACCGTCAATCAGTCGTAAATAAATAAGGATACAAGATGTATGTAACGAACACTCCGGTTAATACTTGATAGTAGTACAGATCTTTATATCTCTCCAGCAGTTTTCCCAAGCTCTTGGCGTCTTCTATGTGAAGCGGCAGCTTCATGTACTGCTTCTCATCTCTACGAAAGCAGGAAATGTTAAATACATTGTATATAACGGTCAAAAAAAAATATTTTTTATAATTTTTAAAAAAGCTATTCTTACTCTTCTAATTCTGGAAAGTTCGTGTACACGTAAAACAGTGCGGTCAGCGAGGCCGCAAAGATGAATCCGACCGTCAGTACTGCTCTTCTCGTTGAAGTTGCTTCCATGGGTGCTTTAGATAACAAGTTTAGATATAATAAAATAACAATTATAACAGATTTTGATTTATATACACGTGTGTTTGATATAAACAGCAATCTCTATGTCTGTGATTAAAAAAAAAAAAAGAATCTGAGACTAAGCAAAAATAAAAAAACTGACGCTAAATTTAACAAAGAAGGTCTGCTAAAATTCGCAATTGAGCACGCACTTCTTTCTGTGACCTTGATTGAGCTCACATGCATTTTTACACGTGTCTAAAAATACAATTCTACATACAAAATTGATATGAGCACACACGAGTCGCATTAGACTTTAGATCGGTGTGCGTAAATACACACACGCGCTGGCTAAGTTTTTTCATGGTAAACAAAAAACAGATCACGTTGTGATGTTTCACCTGGTTTCGCGTTAACCTGCGTGCTCATTTTTTCAGCTGTCTCGCTGTCACTTGTTGTGTATAGGAACGGATCTTCGGAATCGATGCACTTCAATTTTCACGAATCGATGTGTATCGCGTCATGCAATTACTTTGCACTTTTGTCGAGTGCGAGTTTCGCGGTGGGTCCGAACTGAACCGAAGACAGACGTGTGTCGTCCTCGAAGGACAGAGTTGTCACCGATGTTTTTTTTTTTTACAACACTGGTGTACTTCCTGATCTTAAAACATAATGGGTGTGTGACTAAATATTAAGTGAAAAAAAAAAGAAAAAGAAGGTTGAAAAAGAGAAAGAGAGAGAGTAAAAGTACAAAGAGTGCAGCAGAAGATTCCAAATGTTTGAGTTCGAATCAGCTGATGGTCTCGTGGCCCAGTGAGGGAGGAGTTCGGCAGAGGAATTTCTGTTTGCACACTGATGTTCGCGCGCGTGCGCGAGTGACGGCACCGTTCACGGTCGGTTGATGTGGTGACCGCCAGAGGACGCAACGAGCGTTCGGCCATACGTGACAATAAGCCGCACGAGTAATGGAGGAAAAGTTCAAATTGCGAGATGATTTTTGATTTCGTTCCTTTTCCGAGGACAATTCTAACTGTTTTGTTTAACAATTAGACGAGGCGACGAACTCGAGGAGTCGGCGCAGGTTGCACCGCGAGAAGGATTCGTCGCCAGTCAAATCAGACCAAAAAAATGCCAGTAGTAACGAGCTTTCGTTACTACTGTTACTCTGCGCGCGTTGTTCCTTAGCAATATTTGCAACTGCCGGCAGCAGACGATCGGTCTGACAGCTGACTAAGGCGGCTATCAATAGGTATTTCGTGTTTACGGAGCAAACATCTCGCCGAACACACTCGAACGTTCATTCACGAGGGTATGAACACACATGCAACATACATATACATATATATATCTATTTTCTATTTTAGTATTCTTTAAATCAGAACCCCCCGCTCGAAACTCACAAAAAACATTTATTATTTTTAGGACTCTTCCGAGAAATTTTCAATTTCGAATGTAATACTTAAAAAAAAAAAAAACAGGAAACTCTTCCCTTCAAAATAAAAGAAACAAAATCCTGCGTATATTCAAAGACAAATTCGAGACATTGTGCTTATAAATTATATACAAAATTATACTATGAGAGATTATATATATTGATGATAATTGTGTAAAATTTGTCCATGTATGTTTTTTTTTCTCGAGCAACTTGGAATTCTGATCACAACTACGAAATTTGAATGTTGGATTGTTATCTTCGCACGCACATATACGCGCGTCTACGCGGACGCGTACGCTTCGGCTTCACAGATGTTGCATGTCGAACGAGTGTCAAGAACACTACCGAGATAGCACTTAGGAAATATCGGGCCGTGAGAAAGGACCGGAAACGAGGGCGAGAGCCCACGGGAAGTGTCGGGACCGTGTTCTTTCAAAAGTAGTAATGTGTATTTACTCTACCATCATGCTACCGTCTCCCGTTTCTTCTGTCCCTTGCTTCCTTCTATATTTCTCGAATTCCGTTCCTTAATTCGTACGCTCCAACTAGCCTAGTAGCAAATTACACGAACATGATCTTTCATTTTTTTTTGATCGAATATCTCGGGCACCTAGTAAATAGTTTTTTTTTTTTTTTCTTATAAATAACAATGTTCTCTTGTGAACAAGAAAGATATTGCGATGAATAAGTCCGTCAAAATTCTTCTTTCTGTTGCGTTACAGATCGTGAGGAAGGTGGACAACTCGACACAAGCTAACCGGCCAGCCAATCGCGCGAATCCCGCACATCCCAGGCTCTCTCTAGGGTTTAATACCATCGTGGAATGCAGAAGGACGCCGGTTCGCTTCACGCGAGGCCGGTTATACGCCGCGGAGTTAATCATCTCAGGTAAGAGAGGAGGATTATGTATATACCAGATCGTAGAACCTGTTGGACTTCTCTTCTCTTTTTTCTTTTTGCTATTCCGACTCGTCAAACCCAATATCTTCGACGTACACGCTTCAAAGTTATATAAATACGCGCATTGCTTCGAATATTTGTAGCGGATATTCCGTTTTGCGTCACTCGAATATTAGAAAATCCTAATCCCCCTCCCAAGGAGGATTGTCGACGCTACAATATATACGTGCATTATTAATAAATCTATTCGTGTTCTTCGCTTAGATAGAGAGAGAGAGAGAGAGAGAGAGAGAGAGAGAGAGACAGTCTATAAATGATCATCAAACAACACACAACGCGATTCTTAGACGCGCCCTTAGGGAGAGCAGAGAGCGGCTCGAATGCGCGCGTACGGGGATTGTCTAATAAATCACAGGAACCCTAATAGATCGCGGGCCTAGCCAATAAAACGTCCCCGCGTCCTGATACCCTTCTCTTCGGCTATGTTTCTCTTTCTCTCGGTCCCGTACGCGCGCCCACCCGTCTCTCTTTCTCTTTCCGCGTATAACACGACAAACTTGCTCTTTCGCTCCCTCTCCCGTTCCGACTCCGCCACGATTATGTCGTGGGCGGAAATGAGTATAACTCTCCGCCGGAGACTAGTCGCGTCGTGACCGCGTGATGGTACACATGTTTCTCGCATGTGTGTCCGGTGTCGCCGAAAACGTCCTCGGAACTCGGTTTCGTATTCACGGGGACACTTCTTTGTCCTGCAGTCGTCGCCGTCGTCGCCGTCGCCGTCGTCGTCGTCGTCGCCGCTGCCGTCGCCGCGTGAGGAGTAACAGCGCGTCGACGACGTCGCGACGTTGACGCGTTTCTCTCTCTCTTAACTTTTCTCATGTACTTTCTTTCGTCAAAAGAATTGAGATCGTTGTGGACTCCCGATTAAACGGGAGGAGGAGGGAAAGGATTGTTCCCCCGCGGTGCTTCGTATGTGATGATACAGTGGTGATACGCGATTAAATCGTTCTCCTCTGGATTGCAGCGACACGAGACTTCATCCCCTGTATTCGTCTACTTCTTTTTCGGCGACGTCGCCTCGGATTACATCATGACAGACTCGACCCTATTGAAGGCAGCGTGAGTAACAAATTGGCGTGGCAGTTGTAATAAAAAAAAAAAAAAATCGCCACTACTACTAACGAATTAAAGAAGGCAAGTACGAGCCGCCGACAAAGTCTCAAAGAAGTTGCGGTAAGAAAAAAGTAAGATTTCAAACAAACGTGAGCTCATCCTCGACCGAATTGCAGTTAACAATAGAAAAAAAAAAAAAAAAAAAAATTGCACAACGATTTTCAAGCTGTTTTCTGCGAATGACGTCTCTTGGCGACGAAGAAGATATATTCGAGAGACATCAACACGTGGTAATAAAACAGGTGTGAGACGACAGAAAACGGAAAGACAGAGAGACGTACGTCGTCGTCGTCGTCGCGCGCTATAAACTCGCGTCTCGATTTGCATTTGACGTAAACAACAAAGTCGTGGGTGGGTGGTCGCGTGGCACGTTCTAACGCAAAAACTCTCGCGGAAAATCGATCTCGAAAAAATTTCTCGGCGAAAGAGAAAGACGGAGAAAAAAAAAATACATATTTTCTGGAAGCGCCATTATCATCGCGCTATTTGCCGTGCCATTTCGAGATCGCTGCGGTTGGTTCCGTTCGACGCACTCCCGGTGCCGGTATTATAAAACACGTGGCCGCGCGCGAACGCGGAATCCTCGCGCTAAAGTGGATCTATTTTTTTTTATTTTTTTTTTCGATGTTTATTGAAAAATCTCGCCTCGAAATAAATCGCGAACGCGCCGGCGAACTTTCCCGCCTGGCGAAGCGAGACGATTGCCACGTCTCGTCGCGTGCTATCTTTTAATTTCAATGACATTTGTACTAATTAACTATCTTTATTGATTGACAAACAACAATAATGAGATGTACAATTAATTACTAAAAAAGTATGAGAAAAAACTAGAGTTAAATTCGTCAATTTGACAAGTCAATTTGAATATTTGAAAAAAAAAATAGTTTATTTGTTAATATGAATTTATCAGTAATTTGTTTAACATTCAAATGATTAATTTGTCTTCTTGTGTTAAAGTAAAACTACTCGGAACACATTTGTGTGATCGTTTAAAATGAGAAATATCTGAAATCTCTCCGTCATTTTGACGAATTTGATTGTTCTAATGTTAACAAAACCGGGGTTGAACAAGCGCTACATTGTGAAAATGTGAACTAGAAGCGAACTTCGTGCTTTCCTTCCGGAAACGCATAATTTCCGCGCGTTGCTAGGATCCATTTAAAATTGCGAGGACTTCTCTCGCTTGAGATTCTCTCGAGTGATTTACAATCCTCTCACTTATTACACGTGTACTTTATGCATTCTTTCAGCAACACGGCCGTGTAACGGCCTTTTGTCGTCGTCGACGCGATGGTGCGTTCGTCAGGTATTTGGGTTTCCCGCGTTATGCGAAGCCACGTTCTTCGTGTCACGGCAGTCACGTCAATAAGTTCCTCGAAATCGCCGTCGAATCGTGCGCTGCCGAAGATCGTAGATAATACTTCTTCTGCTGTACGAACGTTTCTCTCGATCGGAGAATACACGACGTTCAACAACAACGACGTTCGAATTCGAAAGCAATTCGAGGACCCGAAACGAGGATCCTTCCGTCCTTCACAAACGGGAAGATGACGGTCGCGCGTTTCGCGCGAGAAAGGAAATACGATCGCGTTTCTCGCATTATAACGTAATTAAATAAACATGTACACGGTGCTATCAACGGCGCCGTCGGAATTTTCTCTCCGCTCGAGAGAAGTCGTTACCTGTGAATTCTGCTACGGATTTTTTTTTTTTTTTTTTTTTTTATACAGCCTTCACGCTGCGTGACGTTAAAGATTCCGTTCGTTTTGCGATCGCGCACAAATGACGCTCCTCGAAAACGACGGAAATAAGAAACGAGACACGAGGAGAAGAAGAGTTTTCCCAACGCGAACGTTTTCGTTTCCCGGTGATCGATTTTGAAAATTCGTTCACATCGTGAAGACGCGGCGGCGTCTAAACTATGTGTAAAATGTGTATATATAAGTTTTGAGGAACCGGTTTCACACACGGGGCCCTTATTCCCCGGAGTCGGAGCGGTTTTTTTTTTTTTTTTTAAGTTACTATTATTAGAGACACACATGTGGCCGTGTTAAAGCCATTTGTCGACGGCGATGAGACGGCGGCGAGAATATCGTTTAATAAAAGCGATCGATTATGAATGTTGCAGCTATTGCACAAATTGACATCGATTGTTCGGCTCTTCGTAATTTTCAATTCGGCGCGCGGCGGACCTTTAAGGATAAAAGTTTCAATTGTTACTGAATGAATAATTTTTTACGTACTTGTATACATTTGTGATACAAAAAAAAAAAACATTTTTTTCTTGCAGGCAAATGTGCGAGACGCAGACAAATCGACGCGAACTTGATGAAATTTCTCGATGGAACAGAAAATGTCGCGCTGCAAGAGACTCGCGCGTAAACAGAAAGTACACACAAAACAACGTACTCCCATTTGGAACGTTTATTCTTTCTCTGTAACACGGAATTGTTGTGTCTCACGGCGACGCAACAACGACGACGCTCGTGTTCGCGATCGTTTTCGAGGCGTGTCTATCGGCATCCACGCCAATCGGCGTGAATGATAAAGCTCGGCGGAAGAGATTGCGTTTGCACTACGTACGAACGGAGCGATCGAGAGTCCCATGAGCGAGCGAGCGAACGCGAGCGGATCGAGGTGTTGCATTCTGATCGCGCAATTGCGCGCGCGCGCGTACGTGCAAGAGAGAAATATGACACGCGTGCGCACAGGCAATTTGAAATAGGAGAAACTCTCTCGGCAGGTCTCTTTCTATCTTTTTCTCGCGTTGCGTACATTAACGAGACACGTAGCTTTGTGTTGTGTGTTCCTTGTTTTCTCTCTTTTCAATTCCTCTCCATCTGAAGGCAACGCACGCATTGCTTGCTCGCGCGCGCGAGTTCCCAATTAATTCTATACAACATATTCATGTCGCAATCACAATCGTAGAAACTGCTCGGTACACGTATTTTTGTATTAATCTACGTTCGATTGATTGTGGAAAAATAACGAAAACACAATTTTATCACATTTTTTTTAATTCCGAAAACGCAAGATTGACGCGATACGGAGTTCATCTCGCGAATTGTACGAAATCCGTAGACTGTAAAAACTTCTCTCTCTGTACACTCTTTGCGCGCCTACACGCGGAAACGCGCGCGTACACACACACGTACACACGTACACAGAGGCGCGCTCGCGCTCGCTCGTGCGTGGAAACGAAGGCGTACAGACGGCCGGCCCGCGAGCTATGACGTAGGTGGATCGCGATTCAACTGCGGATGTAATTACATCGCGAACGAGCCGGAAGTGGAAACGGTCTGAGCGCTTTTGCGGCTTAAAGAGCCGGCTTTATATGTTCGAATTACGCCGATCAACCGCGATCGACGTCGTCGTCTCCTCTCCGTCGCGTTCGTTACCCGACGCGCAGAGTTGCGAGGAAAAACGGCGAATTTTCTTGCTTTTCCGGCCCAACCGCCAACACTCGGCTCTTATTTGCCTTATTATTGTTTGTTGTTTTACATTTCTGTGATGTCTTCCAAGGATTTTTAATTTTGCGCAGAGAAAAAAAATGATATACTGAGTAATGCGTTAAATTTGCGACGATTTTGTAATGTTCAATGACAACGATCGCAGGTGATGCCGAAGGAATCGTGTCCCGGATTGCTGTTGACCCTGGTGTCGGTATTCGTCGGTCTGTGCGAGTCCGGCGGCGCGATGACATCCAGCGCGCAGCAGCAGCCGTCGCAGCCGGCGCAGCAACAGCAGCATCATCCGGTCTGCAGGGACGGTCTGGAATTCTGGTCGACCGAGCGCGGCACCTGCTTGCCCTGCACCCGATGCGCCCCCGAGTTTACTCTGAGCCCGTGCGCGGTGCACAAGGACGCGATCTGCGGCCCGCTGTCGGCGCTGGAGATCGACTGGTCCTTCCTGTCGCCGGCGGTCAGGAAAAGGCCGCCGTCGGAGTCGAACGACGACGTTCAGCGTCGCCTCGAGGATGTAACCTCGAAGATGTTCTGGCGGTTTCCCGAGGAACGGGTCACAGAACGGCTTCCCGAAAGCGACAATCTTGTCAATTCCGATCGGGAAAGTGACGGAAGTAAGGCCGACGAGCAGCCGGTCTCCGCTTTGCAGCAGTCAAAAGTAAAATTCTGAGAACTCTGCAGAAAATTGAAACAAAAATCGCTAGATCCGCGTTAACGCAAAATTGATTTTGTGTGACAGGCGGCGCACGATCCGAGGGAGAGGAGAAAATCGGACATCGAGGACGGTCTGTCGTGGGATTGGCAGACCGGCGCTCTGGTTCTCGCTGTGTGCGCCTGCATAGTATTTTTCTTGGTGGCAGGATGCTCGGCTCTCGTCTACGCGAGACAATGGCGACGAATGAAGAAGAACTTCGAGCCAGGTAAGTTCCTTTCTTTTTTTCATTGAGAAGAACAAAAATTGCGTGACGTAGTTTCAAATATCTGCTTTTGCGTTCGCGATATCTCCTTTCCCCCCTCTCTCTCTCTCTCTCTCTCTCTCTTTCTCTCGGAAGGGAGGAATATCCGCGTTCGTACGTTTTCGTGAGCCGCAAAGAGAGCCGCGCGCGGGATGTCGGCACGGAGAAAAAAAATTATATATATATCGGTGTGCGTGTGATATACCTACACACACACACACACGCTCGGAGTCGACGAAGAAGACGGAGAGAGAGAGGAAGAGAAGCGGAGAGGGACGCGATCCCTTAAAATGCACGACGGGATTTTCTTCATTAGAGGGCTGATCACGGCCGCTCCTCACCTTGGATCGACCTACCGCGCCCGGATATGACGTTTCCAACGTTCAGCGCGGCGGTAACTCGTGTGTGCTGTTGCTTAAGATATCGTCGTCACCATTGCGCACGCATTTCGATATAATCTGATCTTGGAAATCTGTAATTTATTAAAGAAATATCGAGACGGAAAGGTAGTCGTCCACCAATCGCACCAATTGCACGTTTGTAGAGTTTTGTTTATTTATTCGCAATTGCGAAACAGACTTTTTTGTGTCGCAACGAGTACTTCGTGCAATTTTAATGTTCTCGAAAGAGATAAAAAGGCGCGTCTGTTTTCGGGCAGAAACCGCACGCGTCAACGACACTTCTTCTTTCTTTCTCTTCTGAGGAGCGAATCGAGATCGCGTAACGCGCTCTTTGCAGACACTCGACGGTACTCACCGGACCGCACGTGTGCGTATATGACGTTACTATCTGCATTTGCATAACTAGCAGTACGCAGAACTCCTCGCAGAAATTCTCCTCCCTCGCCCTTTCGACGACGACGACCACTCGTTCTCCTCTTCTCTATCTTCCTTCGTCTTCTTCTGCAAGTCTCGACGATGTATCGCGCGTGTATACGTTTGTGGGAACCGATTCAGCCACGTTTCGTTAATGAACGCCGTATGAATGAAGCCCCTTCGTCCGGCGTGTGTGTATCGTCTTTTAAATCTACGCCTTCGGCGAAACGCGCGCGCACACACACACGGGCCGCGACGTGAAGAGCGTTCGACCTTACGTTATTGAAAATGCACACTTCGTGCACCGCAAATTAATTATCAGTGTTGGTCGGAACACTGTATCAGCTGTATCAGAAATGCGCACACCGGGATTTTTATCCAGCAAATTGAATAAAATCGCGTTGCTGGCGCGCATCTGAAGTGCAAAAAATCGGTCGATTAAATTACATTTTTAAATATCACATTGTCACATATCGCGATTAACTTGAGATAAAAAAAAATATTAACTAAAATATACATAAATAATGTGTGAAAAAATAAATTATTTTAATCAATTATTTTAATTATGTTATGTTGTTTTTGCAACGAGAGACGTTCTCTCCTATATAAAAATAGCACTTCGAGCAACCTCGAGCGTGTTGCACGCAAAGTCCATTTAGTTTTATTGCTTCTACACAATCCCATTAATATTTATCGCTCGCGAATTATGTATATAGTTAATTAATATTAATTATGTAGACATACGTTGTACACACGTGTGCGCGCGCGAGAGAGCAATTTATTATCTTGTACAGTATTAAGAGCAGCGATTTTTTTTATTTACATTCCACAGTCTGCTCGGATGTTACACTTTGTTCTATACGGCGCATTATCGCCGGAAGTTCGTGTTACAGAAGCGAATCGCGATCGTTCTCCCATTCGCTGATCCCCTGACGACGTTGTCTCTTTTATTTTTATATAAAATATCTAACACAAATAATTATTAGTATGCGACAAATTGCAAGAGAACATAAATATTACAGCAATTGTCGAATAAATATTCAATCTTGTTTTGTTAAAACATATACTTTGTGGGAAAAAAAAAGAGAAACGTTATTTTGCGCTTTTGTAAAATTGTTACGCGATTGGCGGCACACAACGGCGAAACGGACGTTCGATCACGCGTGTGTGATCAGTACCGTTTGATTGCGGCTGATTGGTCGGCCCACCCGGTGCTTCTGATTAGGAACACCAGTCGGACGGGGGACGGGAGAGAAAACCGAGGGACTTATAGGGATACCGCTCGTAGTCGGGAGCCATTAGAGGGGAACGCGAGAGAGCGTGTATCGCGCCATGGGGTCTGCGGGAGAAAATCAAGCCGCATTCCACAGACGCTCTCGACGCATTCCACGTCGACATTGTGCGGCTCTCGATGCAATGCGCTCGACGCGGATGCGTTCTCGCGCCGCGCCGCTCTATTATCTTTCTCGGAACGGGTTTTATATTCCGATCATTTATGCACGCAAATTGACGGGGGTTTTCTTTTTTTTTTTTTTTGCACCAACCGTCGTACACGTTTGTACCAACGAGAACAGATCTCTGATACGAGAAGTTGAACAAAAACTAATTGATTTGTTTTATACAGTTTTTGCAATGCTGACGCAAACTTTTGTTGCAGCGGGTCTCGAGGAGATCTCGGCGAGATTGAATCTCATGGTGAAGGCGGAGCTGGCCGAACTGATCGCAGGAGCGCCGATGAACCCAGGTGATCCCGAGACCAGATGCCAATATCTCGAGAAGCTTTTAGGTGAGCACGCTCAAGAAGAGCTTTGGGAAGCTCTCCATTTGCGAGACTAGAAAAAACTTCGCATCGCTCGTTAAAATGTAAAAGTTCTGGTAAAAAGTTAAACTTGTGCGTGGGAGTCTCGCTAATGAGTCCGGAGGATTAATAACAACGTTTTGAAAAAGAGTTGAGAGAGAAGATTCGAAGTATACGGAGGAGGAGGAAGAATGACAGATCCAAATTGGTGTCTCATCAAAGTAAAACCGTGGCGTATAAAATTGAGTCTATGTATGCGTTACGCGCTCCGCGCCACTTTCGCAATCACACTTCCATTGCGTGCGACCGCGTAAGATATAGTTGCGTGCACGTTCGCAATGATCACTTTGTGCGCCGAAAGGAAGAAGGGGGAGGGGAACAAATGAAGGATGAGTACGACCGTGAGCGCGCGCGAGCGGGGTAGAGAGCGAGAGAGAGAGAGAGAGAGAGGATCTCTCTCAGTCGCAAATACACAATAAATTCGCTTAACTCGTATACGGCGCATTCGGATGTGCTTCACACGCGCGCGCGTTCGCACAGGGTGACCATGAAGTACCGTTCGGTTGTGTCGGCCGGAAATATTTTTTTGGCATGCGCGACCGATCACCGGTGTCGATCTGTGCCTCGACACGCGGATTTCCCATCGCTGCTATTTGGAATTAAAATCGTAGTTCAAATCGCGAGGGAGAATCTCGCGCGATCAAACAGAAAAAAAAAAAAAAAAAGAACCGTGAGGCGTGATAACGCTCGACATTGAACAATGAAACGTGTATCTTTCGACGTAACACCAGTGGGACTTAATGTGTGCCGGATATGGCACGGTACCGAGAAACGCGCGCGCGGGGGCCCCATTGACACACATACATAGTGGCACGTGGCTCATTATCGAACTTTCATTCATCGGCGGCGATTGTTCGTTTACGCGTTTATTTCCGCCACGGTATACGCGGCATATTTGCATAACACGTGATATCACGTTCCGCACTTTTGTACCGTGTACCAACGTGAAGCGGTATCTCGTGCGCGGAGGGGAGAAGAAGAACCGCGCCGTGCGATCCGATCGCGAAATCGATCTTTTTTTCTTGTCAATCGCTTGTATTAATCCTCACCGCTTCTGTGTGTGTGTGACAAGTTCCTCTCTCTCGCGGAAAGAAACGCGCACGTACGTACGTTACGTCAGAGCGCGAAAGTTTCTCGATGTGCTTAAACAGCACGCCGCGACGGTATATTTTAGGAAGTTAGTAGCTGTTTGTGTAGTGCGCGTTTGTATATGTGTGTGTGTTGTGTGTACAGATACGGTTCTTGAAACAGACGAGACGAGACGCGCGCGACCACTCTCTTTCTCTCTCTCTCTCTCTCTCTTGCCCGCGCCGCCGAAGGGGAAAATTATTTATCGCGCGCGAAAACAAAATGACGCGATTGTTCGGACGTTTATCTGCCTCCATTCATTCGCGCGGCGCGAACCCCGCTCGCGCGCTCTAACTTTAGCGCACACGCGTGTAGTAAGCAGACTCGCCGAATGTATATACCGTTTAAAATCCTTTAGCCGGAAATGCGATATCAAAACGCACCGAGCGATTGTAAAATCCATTAGAGATTCTCTATCTAAAACTCAGTTAAGTTGTTTTTAACATTTACATATCTAATTATTGTTTCTGTGACAAAAATGTTTGTTGGGCCATTAGAACATTCACTTTACCGGGTTTGTAAAATACTTCTCGCGATGCGTGTCTTTGCGCCGCTCACTTCGTTGAGATTTCACGATTCTCTGTCTTTGGCTATTTTTCAATATCACATCCATAATTTGCAAGAAAATTTTTAGTTTTTAAATAAGATATTTATAGGTTCTTGTTTCGTCTCAAAGGGACCTTGTAACGGGATGTTTGGGGGTCGCGAAAATCCGGCGCTATTGCCGTCTTATCGAGCTTGTTGCAAGGTTTCGGGGTTTGACGCGCGTAAGCATCGCGAGCGCGTGAGCACGAAAAGCAATCCGTCGCCAATTTTAGCAGCGCTCGCAAGCGCGCGCGTCAATATACGCCGCGCCTCGCTCTCTCTCTCTCTCCGGCCGGAAAGCGAGACGCGTGTGCACGCGCGGATCTCTTTTTTCCCCACCGGGAATATTTCATTGCGCGCTCCCACGCCTCGGAAGTTGTATTTATATGTGGACCGGCCGCTACCGGAAGCGTAACGCCTGATGTACACGGTGTTCCCGAAATACGCGCGTGTCACGTCGCGATACATACCTATACGCAAGAGCGATATGTCGTCGGGAGACATTTTTTTATCCGTTTTTCCTGAGCTGAGCTCGCGTTCTAATTTTACCATCTCTTCTATAATATAATAAAATATATGTAATTTATTTTAATTAATTATTTTATTATTTATTATATAAAGATGTGATATTATAAAGTTTCTAGATCGTGTTGCAAAGCCGTCAAATGAAAAAAAAAAAAAGAAACGATAAAAACTTCCTCTTTTTCAAAAAATAATCTCCGAATTTTCTGAACATCTTATTTTGTTTCAACACGAAACGATGTTGTACTAATAATAATTTCCTGTCGTAAGATGATAGAGGGGACGAAGACGCGGAATATTTCTGTACACGTAATTCTGCGGGATGGATTATTTCTATCTTCTTAGATAAATAATTTTCATCGCGTATGTGCGCGCGACGCAAATCGCTCGTAATGCCCCGTTTCGAAACGTTTTCTCTCTCTCTCTCTCTCTTTCCGCTCGCTTGACCGATAGGGCCGGTGAGGATTCGTTTGCTCTGCTTGCAGACCGGAAACGAGAGACTCCGGTGGTAGCAGCGGCGTCGGCGACGGCAGCGAGTGGCTGGCCGGAGGCGGCGGCCGGCAACTTGTACATCGAGGAGGGGGACGTAACGACACCGAGGAGCAAGCGGTCGCAGATCTCGCGGATTCAGCACGACATCGAGACCATTCTCAGTCAAAAGACGAATCAGGTCGTCGATTGACCGAGAAACGCGCAACACCTCCTCACCCATTGGAAATTCCAATGAGATAATGGAAGCTGAGAGCCTCTGGCTCTCTGAACTCTGTGTATTTCGTAATGACGCGAATATTGTGTTAAGTGTAACGTAAGGCATAAAATTAAATTCACATTGCGAGAGACAACAAACTGGCAAAACCCCGAATACTCACACACACTTTGATTGCAAATCCGACGTTGTGCAGTCTTGAGATCACAATTCAATTTTCCGTATATATATATAATTTATATGTACATATCTGTTTTTTTTAAATGTTGGGACAAACAATTGAACACACTCGGGACGAAGAGATGAACGAATTGGCGAGTCAATTTGTTGTATAAAAAAAATTTGCTCTTGTAGTATTTAACGTAATAGAACGATTAATTTTATTTGATTTCGGTCTTCCGGAGGGAACTTGTTCTCTCCGTTCGAAATTAATTCACGTCCGTCATTGAAACGGCGCAGTCAATCTGGATTACGTCGAGCTCTGGGATCGTCCAGAAGACGGATAAATTTAAGAAAAACCGGCGAAGTATAAATTAGATATTTATATACGATTACAGATGGTGTGCAACGCACCAGTGAACGCAGGTTGGGATTCGTTGCGTCGGGTCGGATCAACTGGGATTTCTCTCTTTTTCTTTCCTTTTTTGTGACAAGCGAATAAAAACCGTCTTATAAAGACAAACCTTCCAATCGTGTCCCGAAGCTCGAGCGCGATTCGAGCGACGAGCGACGCGCAAGATATTTTTTTTTTTTTTTTTCTATTTATTTCTCTCTTTCTCTCTATCTAGTTTTAACGTGACGAACACTGTAATATACAAGCGCTTTTTGTATTCAATATACACATGGTGCCACGAGCAATAAACTTCAATACATCTAGAGATGTTTCTAATTATTTTTTTTATCTCTTCGCAACACTAAAAACGATCGAGTGGAATAAATCTCTGTTCGGTTCGCCTTCACGCGAAGAAGGAAATTTGTCGAGAGTCTGGTGGTGTGAGCGAGAAGAGAAAAAACTTATAGACACGTATGATAAAAATTTTCCGTTCTATTCCTTATATACATAATATTCGTATATTTATAGATTGTACCCATTACACCGTAATAACATCAACAATTTTTTTTTTTTTTTTTATTCCTTTCTTATCGGTTTAAATATATTCTTTTTTTTTGTTTTTAATTCATATGTCGTATATAAATAAATCGGATAAGGATAAGGTCGTGTAAAGAAGGATTTAGGGGGAGAATAAAGGTGGACGTGTGGGAGGTGGGTGTGGGATGGTGTGGTTTTTTTTAGAGATGCGCCTAACCGTCTCTCCGCGTCTCACATACATTCGAAATTCCTCGTGTGCTCGTCGTACTCTCGACTTCGCCCCTAAAAGATATAATAACACCTTTACGTCTATCTTCTAGCGTTAAGACTATTTTCTTTGTAAACGTGATCACAGTGTAAAGGCAATCGCTAATATACGCTAAAGCGGTAAGCACATATGGTGAACACGGGTTATTACAACAACACATACGCTTCCTCGCTGCAGTCCGATATTTATACATGTTGTACGAATCACACACCTTTCGCTCACGCGTTCGCTTTTTGCCTTCGTCTCTCCCATCGACCCCTCTTCGAAATCCTCTTCTCCATCTTCGTGCAATGTCCCTTTCGCGCGCTCTCTCTCTCTCTCTCTCTCCCGAAGGAGATTCGTTATTCCGATCAGGCACTTTTTTTTTTTTATTTTTTTTTATTTGCGAGAATCTGTCCCGAGGACTTGCACGAGAGTACGACGAACGTGCGCGCGCATGCGACTGCGCGGTTTTGTAAAGGTATCTAAAAAGATTTGTACATCAATGATTTTTTTTTTTTTTTTTATAAGGATTGAAAAGTGCGAAAATGACGAACGTACGTGTGTGTTATGTTACCCTAATAAAGAATACGTGTGCTCGGCGTAGAAAATAGTGGTAAGTTTTGCAACAGCTCTTATTATACATACGTATATGTCGAAGATAATAATTCGTGTAAGATTTGCGTTTTTTTTTGTTTCGCACATCGCGTGCGAAACCGTCTCCTCTTTTTTTTTTTTTTTATCTCTCACATTTTGTTTTTGTTCACAGATTCAGAATTCGTGTCGTTCACATTGCATCGTCGGCTAAAATCGGCGGTTGGAAAAGCACCGTCATTAACGCTATACACGTCATTCTCCTCGATTTGCACAAAATAATTCTCTCTCTCTCTCTCTCTCTCTCAGTCACGTGACCTCGCGGTACCTCTTGGAATGTGTGTAATGTATGTATGTATGTGTGCAAAGCAATAATAAATTACTTAATTTCTAATAAATAATTATATAATCGTATTTTTGTTTTTTTCTTTTAAATACTCTCTACGCGCGATATACAGAATAGTTATTTTTTTTTTTTTTTATAAATAACTACAACCATTTACAGCAGTGTTTCCGCGTATAACTTTTCCGTTTGTCTCTCTCTTTCTCTCCTTCTCTCTCTGTCTCCCTCTCTCTCTGAAAGAGAGACGGTATATATATATATTTATTTATATATTTATATATTTATATATATTTATATATATATATATTTATATATATTTATATGTAATAATATAGATTGCTTAGACCACATGAATCGCTTGCCGAACGTCAGACGTTCGTTAAATACGCTCGAGTGCAAAAATAAAAATTGTGTCACACAATTTTTAATTGACAATCGGCCGATCGCCTAAAAACAAAACTTTGTAGCAAGATACAACACCCTGACTAGGAATCAAACTTGGAGTTTCAAAATTAACAATTTAGAAAAAAAAAGAAAAGAAAAGTACGATCAATTTATTCTAAGCAATCTACGTTCATGTAATATAATATTTGTGTGTGTGTGTGTGTATGTTAGTTTTGCGTGTGCATACACACATACGTACATATACAATGCAAACGTATGTACGTATATATTCTATCTCTTAATTTTCTCCCATTTGTTTTGCTCGTCCCCCCCCCTCTCTCTCTCTTTCTTTTCTTAATACTCTCTCTCTCTCTGTACAAATATTTATATATAAAATATTTATCGAATCAAAACGGCGCGAAAGGCGGAGAGAACTAACTTTACGTTAAAGTTACGTCTCTCGAACTCTTGCCGCTTATTGTATTACAATATAATTAATAACGGCTGGCTTTTGTGCCCTGTACATCATCATCATATCATCAATCATCACCTTTCGATTTCACACCGATTGCAACGTATTGTTTTTATTTTTTTTTGTTTTTAACCTAAATAAACAAACAAAAAAGAAAGAACAAATGAATCCCCACGACGATACTTCAAAACCGTGTGCTTCGCAGCTGATGTATTGTCGTGAGCTTCGTATTGACATTTACGCGTATCGATACGCGCGAGAACGTGCACCGATACGTGCCTTCGACCAAACGCGACATTTCAGATTACTCACATTTTACGCGATGTCTTTTTTTGTTTTTTTTCAAAAACACGCTCTCTGCCTCCCACTAGATTAAAAAATTCCTCTACCGTGCGAATTCTACAGTTTCTACAAGTTCTCACATTCGTGCTTGCGAGTAAATATAAAAATTTTTCGTCTGACTCTCTTCGCATCCATTTCTTCGGCGAGAGCTTTGCGACACCACAATAATAAATGCACTTTTCCATCTTTCTCTCTGCAAAATGAGTTTCGCGTGTCGCGTTCGTCTCGAGCAATCACAAATCGCGCGCGAACGCGCGTAAATAGGTATCTCTGTAGTTGTCCGAAAAATTTTTTCAACGTCATTTTTCTCTCGCCAAAAAACAAATTACGGCGCAGCTAGAACAAAGTGTTTCTTCACTTTTCGCGAATTATCGACGGTGCGATCCGTTTTTTTAAATTGTTTTTTTTTTTTTTTTTTTTTATCTCTCATACTTATGTCACTAATTTAAGACTAATGATAGAGCTTGGAATAACTTCGATAAAGCCCTATGGACGGATAGTTCGTACAATATAACAGTATGACGGACGAGTGTATGTTGGCAATTTTCTTGTTTTTTTTTTCTCTCTTTCTCTCGCAATATATGCTATCTCTCTCCTTCTTTCTCTGTCTCTCTCTTTCTCTCTCTCTCAAAGAAAAGGCACAATTAGTCGCGCGTCTCGCGCTATATTTTCTAAGACATAGTCGCGACATACTCCGTCTTTCTCTTAAGAATAATTCAAGGTACGATTATTGACTCGTCGCTTAAGCGATAGAAAAAGCGAGGCTTTACCTTTCGCGTTCCTGCGCCTTTTTGAAAAGTAAAGCCGTTTAAAAGTAAAGCCTTTTCGAAAATACCTTTGGCGAAGAGTATGCCCGGACACGTCGCAGAAAATACTTGCTGCACTGCTAATGAACACTGAAACGTATGTGACATACGTGTCGATTCTTTTTGTTTGTGTTTTGTGTTTTTGCTGTTTAGCCTCGTTCACCAAACGATGAACGAAAAGAAGAAGAAAAAGAAGAAGAAGACGTGAAAAGAGAAAAGATTCTTCGATTATACAAGTTTCTCTTAAATTTTGCGTGTGTGTTTTCTCTTCCCCAGCTACTGGTGACTCTTGCTCAGTAAATGCGAGTTGAATTGGTAAAGATTACAACACTGCTCCCCGCAAATATTGCACTTCCACGGATTGCTCTCGCTGTGACAGCCCTTGTGAAGAAAGTACAATGTCTGATCCGGAAACGTGATGCGACAGTGGGTGCACTGGAGACCGCTCGTGCGTGGATCAGGCCTGGTCGAAGTGGGCGGCTCGCCTCTCGAGTGCGGATTGGAATTTGCAACGCCGCCGCCGCTGTTGTTACTGCTGCTGTTGTTGTTGTTGTTGTTGTTGTTGGTGGTGCTCGTGGAGAGCTTACGGCGCAGGTCGTCGCGCAGCAGCGACTTCAAGGGCGACACTTTGATCAACGACGGCAGCGGCAAATTGCTCGACGTCGCGCCGCTGTCGTCCATACCGTTGCTGTTCGGCTCCTGCTTGATGGGTATCAAGGAGATCGACGGTGTTATGGCCTCGTCACCTCCGCCAACGTTCCTGAGGGAAAAAACACATTAGAAATCGGATATACGCGTTGAATTTGTCGCAAGTTTTTAAGATTTTTGTTTATGTATTGTAAATTTAATAAATAAACGTTGCCCACCTATGGATAGTGCTGCTATTGATAGATAATTGGTGATGACTACTGCTCGGCGCGTTGCTATTGCTGTCGGCGCTCTGCGGACTGTTAGGGCTGTCTCCGTTCAACGGAGCAGGACTCGGATTTCGCTGATTGGCAGCTTGTTCGGGATAAGGAATGGATATCTCCACGTGAGGCGTGAGGAAATGCATGGGGGGCGTAGCGTTGTCGGTCGAACGATTGCCGGTGCTGTCTCCGCTGTCGGACAGCGGTGCCGAGGGCATCGCCTCTCCGGATGTGCAACTATTCATTAAAGATGTAGAGCTATTTGGTCCTGGATTATCTAAATCTATTCCGTGTCTGCGCAAAGACAACACAACAAAATATAAACGCCATAAGTAAAATTTCGTCACGTAAGAAAAAAATGAAACAAACAGCGAAATTGGGGCAACTTGCCTATTAAAAAAGTGCAACCTAAGACATTTCATAGTCGCCGCACGATAATTGCAGAGAGGACACGACTTGACCATGTCGTGCTGGCCAACGTGTTCGTTCTGAAAATGAGCGCGCATCGCGATCTGTCTTTGGAATCCTCGATTACATATCGGGCAATGGTACGGCAGAGTCTTCGAATGCGTCGTGAAGTGTTCCGCAAGATGGTCCTTCCGAAAGAATCTCTTCTGACATACCCGGCACTCGTATGGTTTCACGCCTGTATGCCTCATCTGGAAGAAGAAAAATTCAATCATATTATTATACAGAACTATGTAAGTGTACATATGTACGTACATTTGTTATTTATCGTATAATTTTTCAAGTGCAATATAAAATAAAAATACAAACAGTCCAAACACTCACTTTGTGCCGTCTCATATTAGCCCCATTGGAGAATTTCATGTTACAAACGTCGCACTCGAACATCTTTCTGTGAGATCTAATCCCTGAATGACCCTCTTCCCCATCTCCGTCATTCTCCACCCCTTCTATCCCCTCAGCATTCTCTCCTGCCTCGCCGCTCGCCAAACATTGATCTTGATGAGCCGAGAAAGCTGTCTTGTTTATCGTTTCATAATTGTCACACCTATCGCATCTGCGGAATCAGAAGAAGGAGCGTGTGTCCAAAAAATTCAAAAAACCAATAATTTTAACGCAGCAAACCTGGGTCCCAGCTGTGAGCTTTTCACTTATTTCGCACAAGAACTTAGTCACTTTCAATCTCACCTAAATGCGGGAACAGCTCCATCACTACTGTCGTAATTAGTATTGAGAGCCGCCTCGTTGTCAGGATCCAATGTCTCTTCCTCTCGGTGATTGGAAGAGTTCCCAGCCTCGGCTTGCGAAGAGGAATGAGAGTCTACCTCGTTTTCCCCACCACCACCGTCAACTCCATCTGACATGTTACCAAGCAGAGGGACTATCTTGAGTCCGTCATCTAACCTACAACACAAATGATTTCGCACTTTGAGAAACAAAAAATACAGAATTTATTCGCGTCGCTACCGCGAATGGTTTCGTGAACGTGAAAAAGATAAATCGGAAACCGTTTAAATTCATCACTGGTGACGCGACTCGACTCGATCAACAACAACAGACAGATTTAACTCGGACGGAAATCAGGCAGTGTGCGTGTCCCGCAACAAACATTCGGAAAAACTGACAGGTACGAAGAACCGCGCGCGACAATCAATCGCGTTCGTCGCGGGCCACGTATATTTCCATATTTCCGCCAGAGGCTAAACGAACGTCGTCGAGCTTCGTCTCAAGGAGACGAAGAACGTCGCGCGAGCAGCCGACATCGTCTCGTTGCCCTACATAACAATAATCCGTTCATTGCCACCACGTTCGCGTTGGACACGTCGTTGCGCAGCGCGTTTGCGGAATCCTCCTCGCGGAAACGTAGAAAAGAAAAAAAAAATGCGAAAACAAAAAAAGAAAAAGAAAAACTGGTATCCTCGCGATGCAATCCTTGCGCGCTGCGCAAAACAATTTCTTCCGAGATCGCGAGAATCTCGCGAGAGGAAAACGAGGTTGTTTTTGTCGCGTGCGCGCGCGCGCGCGCGCGTGTATTTCACAAGCACATTTTTTTCACATTTACGTACGCAATTCGCGGCCCGCTCGCGCATCGCCGTGCCGTCGATGTGTCGTCGTCTCCTTTCCTTTTTCTCTCGTTTTTTTTCCCTTTTTTGTTTTTTACCTGTCAACTCTTCTCTCCTTCGATTACGTTACCGAAGTCGGTGGGCGCCCGGAGTCGGGAGAGACACGACGACGAGAGAGCGATCGTGGCGAAAGAGAGAGTCTTAAATCGCCAATACCAGCTCCGAGGGGATATCCGAGAGAGCAAGGTGCAACGGTACGAGCGTATTACTCAATCCTGGGAAGATTACGGCATAGAAACACCTGGTGGTAAAGCGCAATGCCAGAGTGCACTGCACTTTGTCCCAGTTTCGACCGAATCCGTCACTCGTGACGTAGTTTTCGCGGCTTTTCCACGCAAAAGTTCTTTCTCTCTCTCTCGGCGGGGCCGCGCGGACAGAAGAGGTGAGAAAAAAATTGCGGAGAGAAAAAGAGAGAGAGAGAGAGAGACGAACGGCGGGAGAGCCTGTAAAAGGAAGGGGAATATATATCTAACACAGGAGAGGCAGGAGAGCGCGCGGTGTGTGACCACTTACATTCCACGGGGGGACGACGGGTACATACACCTTCCTCGGCGCCACGACGGAATTTCCTCGCTCGTCCTCGCGCGCTCACACGCTCCGATCGCTCACGACGATCGGTGTCGCCGCATCTCTTCTCTTCCCCGGAGAGATTACTTTTTATTTTCTCCCCGTCGTGTTTCTCCTCTGCCCACCAACGTGACTCCGTCCACCGCACCACGGTGTGCGCGCGGCCGCACACACAGAGACAGACCAAACCGAACGCGATCAAACGTAACGGAAGCCTTCGAGCGGTGCGTGCGTGTGTGTTTCTCTCGCTCACCGAGATATATCGGCACTGCTGCCAACCGCCGACTGTGTCTCGCGGCGGCTTGACCGTCGCCGTTGACGACGATTATCTACCCGTGATCTTCGTCGCGATCGCACCGGATCGCACTCGATCCTCTCTCTCGGGAATGCGCACCGGATGCGTATGTGCGTGATCCTCGCGGCGCCACCGCGGGACCGTCGTCGCGCGACTCCGCGATCGAAACCGCACACGCGCGCGCGCGCACCCGCTCGCCCCCGACAACGACATAACCTCCTCCTCACGTCACGAGGAGTTCAAGTTGGCACCACGCGCGCATCACTTCTGACAACTTGTCAAACGTCGTCATCTCTCTCTCGTCGCACACGTCATCCCGGATCGTGTGCGTTTCGAGTGCGTGGGTCGTACGTTGCGAAACACGTCGACGAGCAATTGATCCTCGTTTGTTCGCCGATTTCCAACTACGAATAAACATTGACTGTCGTAAATAGCGACCGAAACAATTGACCGCGAACATTGCGGTCTTTTTGAAACGCTAACCTCAATTCGCGCTGCACTTTTATTGATGCGACGAAGAAGTCGTTCGCATTGACTCGATCGAACGATTGTTTTGTTGTGTGTGTGTTACATGAAGGATGCGGAAGAACTGTCTTTTCGAACACGCGATTGTCCAAAACTCTGACACACACAGGTAAATCTGCAACTTTGACATATAGTGTTGTTTATATTTTATGTGTGTAACAACAGAATGATTTTATGGACGCATATGTAAAAAATGAGTTATTTGTTTATAAAAAATTTACAAATTGTTGTTCGTAACACAATTTATATATTTACTTCACTGGAGAGAGAGAGAGAGAGAGAGAGCGGCATAATACAATATAAATAAATTGCATTTCACACGTGTGAAAAAATATTATATATATGTATATAAAATATTGCACACCTTCGACATTTAGAGTTATTAATAATTGTTTATAATTTATATACGAAATATTAAGAAGTGATCTGACATTATAATTTATATGATTATATAATCAGATGTAAAAAAATTTGCTCTTATACGAAGAACTTTTTTCCCCGGTATTTGTGTGATGTAAAAACAAGTTTACGTAATTTTTATAAAAAAAAAAAACAAACAAATTAAGGCAGGATTCTTTACTTGCACTTAGTGCAGTTTCCTGCCCTGTGTAAAAGGGTTAATAGCCCAGAGAGGACGGAGAAAGAAAGGAGGAGTGAAATAGAAAGAGAGAGAGAGAGAGAGAGAGATATGGTGGAGGGTACACGTTATGGTGGCGGTGTTTGGGCGTTGCTCTCTTCAGTACCTGTTGATCTTCTCTTGCGCCGTGTTATCTCGCGGCGCGCAATTGTCGCAACTAACGATCGTCCGGTAACACTCATTAGCCGAGCGTTGATTATCATGAAACAACATGGTAAGATCGTAACTGAGATGATCCAGTATCCGTGAGGGAGACAATTAATCTCTCTCTGTCTGTCTCGCACTCCTCTCTCCCTTTCGTCGTCTCGCCCGGTTTGTTTTTGCCACGCGACTGACTGTGTCGCGATGTCTCTCCCGCCTGTCTGTTTTTTTATCTCTTCGTCCGATAAAAAATATGTCACGTGCGTGCACACAAATAAAATTCTTCTGAAATTAATTAATTTATCGCAGACCCGTTGAGGTGTAAAACGAAACGTCTCCGACATTTCGTCAGTTTCTCTCTCATTTTTAACTTCTCGGGTTTTTACAAAAGTGTTTCCAGACAGTGACGGTCGAGTCAAAATTACACTTGCATTAAATATCGTTTATATATCACTTACATATTTTAGTCTAATTGTTTCATGTTTTTTTTTTTTTTTAATCAGGTTTTTATTTACCAAGTGTGTTAATTGTTTTTAATTAGTTGTGGGAAATTCATTTTCTTCGTGTTGTTTTGTTAAATGTTTGACGCGGAAGGTCACACAGGTAAAAAAAGATCTTTTTCTCTCTTGCAGCAATAAATAATGGGCAAGGGTGAGGAGAGAAACGGCACAACAACGGCGCAGGCGGAGTCGTTCCTCGTGAAAAGCTCGAGTGAAGCCAGCAAGATGCTGGAGGCCGCGTTGCTCCAAATGGACGATATAATTTCCGGTACGATCAGAGAACTCATCAGAGAAATACCTTTCGCAAATATTATATTAGCGATGGCGTTTATATTTTTATTACAAAAAAAGGAGAACAGTTTGTTTTTATATAATACAATAAAACTTGTGTAAAAAGCACAAATATATAATAAATATAACATGAATATATTAAAATATATAAAATAAAACACATTTTCACCGTACAGGTGCTTGTGCCGAAAGCTCGGCCGAGAGCAGTTCGGAGTGGAAGAACTCGGTGAAGGAGGCGACGAGAAATCTCGTCGCGGCGATAAAGAACGCGCCGACACCACCTCTGCCGCCCGACGCCGCCACCGAGGACATCCTGTTGCAGTGGATGCAGCCGGTAAGCTAGACAGAGATACGAGGTTGCAATCCGTTGCGTTCCGCTCTCGCGAGAGATAAATTTTTTCTCGAAATGTCGTCCTTTCGCTTCTTCGGAAGAGACGATCACGCGCGTTTCCACGGAAACGTTTCACGTTTCGGATGTTGTTGTTGACGTAACGAACACGTGTGCGCGGAGTCGTCGGACTCGCATCCGGACTCCGCGTTTACATCGCAGTTTATACACGTAGTTTTATCTGCGCGTGTGCGATTGTCTCGCATCCGTGTGTGGTTTTGATTGCCGGGTCACGTACGCCACGTCCACGTGTAGCATCCGGACGTTTTGATTCCGTAATCGTTCAACAGCACGGATCACGTTTCTAAGCGCGTGATTGACCGAAGGTTTGAAATTTTTATTTCACGATTACTCGTTAAGTTTTGACTGTGACAAAGTCATTTTGGTCCTCCGAAGAAGGTAAGTACAAAATTTAAAATTAAACTCCGCGCGAGATTCTCTTCTTTCGTCATCGTGCTTTTTGCTTCGTACGGTTAATTGATTTTGTTTTAGAACTTAATTAGACGAGAAGAGACGGAAGAAGCGTCTATAACGGCTTCTGTCTCCCCGAGCGACGAAAAGAGACGACAATCTATTTATAAATTGTCTTCTCTCTTTCTTCACGTTTCCCGTCCGCTCTCCTCTCCTCACGAAGGATTTCGTGATGTTAATTTTAGTTTCGACGGAGACGATGCTGCGGCTGGTAGCGACGTGAGTGCCGTCCGATATCGAGATAAGTTTCGCTCGTGCGTCGCCACGCTGATATCGGAATTTTGTGAATGTACGCATCTCGCAATCCAGACACAATCGAATTTTCATTTTCGAGCGAGTCTCTCGAAGTGCACGAAAAAAAAAAATAAATAAAAAAAATAAAACAAGTGACGAGAAATGTGACTTTGATCGAGGAAGAAAAAAACTTGCGGCTTTTGACAAAACTGTTGTCAATTGAACTTGATCCGAGAAATTTGCAATGTGTGCGTCTTGCCTGGACACGAGGCTCGACGAGTAAAGCAGCCCGACGCGGTAATTTGAAGAAGAAGAAGAAGAAGAACAGAAGCGCCGCGAAACTTTGTCATGGAAAACGCGTGGAACGACGGCTTCGATGGGGAACAGAAGGATCTCGCTCCTATAATGGAAGAAGAAGATGGGGGAAGAGCGAAAGGTTTTTCTCTCGTTTCAGTTCAGGATTCTCTTCTCGGGAATTTTGAAAAAAATTTAATCGGAAAAGCGACGACGCGAGTCGTATAGATTTAAGAAAGTCGAACACGCGCCGTTGAAGCTTGTAGTTTTATAATAATGCGATCTTGGCAGACGGAGATGCGGCTTTCCGCAATTTCGATACTAAAATCGCGCGGCCTGGCCGGTCTCGCACCGCGAGAGATATGCTTCTGATGGTACCTGAATAAATGACCCGCTCGAAATAGACTGTCTCGAGCACGCCGACCGCGATTGACCGCCGAGGTTCGCGCACGTTCATTGACTCGTAAGTCGCGACTTACAGTTAACGCTGTTCCGATTTACGTTTGAAAACGATAAACATTCACGTTGCCGAAAAACACGCTCCCCGGCGCGTTTTTTTGTCGATCAGATTTTTTTGTCTCGTTCTCCGAAGCGTAGATGAAAAAAAAAAAAAAAAAAAAAGAACCAAAAATAATCTCTCTCGAACACTCTTCGCGCGTGTGCGCGCGCGCGCGCGCGGATTAAAAAAAGAAAAAAACTTCTAATCTAAATTCAGGTTCGCAATCAGACTCGTCGGACGCGGCGTCGACCATAAAGCGCTGGAACAGTCGGTGGACGCCCTCCGAGGGTTACGACTCGTCCGGCAGCACGTCATCGAACGACTACGTGGAGGATTATCCGCGGGACAGCGGCATGACATCCGAGCCGACGATCGCGTGCCAGGCGACCTATCGGTCGCAGGAGTGTTTGTGTCAGGTAGATTCGTAAAATAGCGAAATCAAACTTCTAAAATAAAAAAAAAGAAAAAAACAGTACAGGATAGAGTCACGTATTCAAATCGTCGGATTTTTTACATGCAAATTCATGTATTCAAATTAGCGAGAAATGAGAGAAAGCGAGATTTCTGCGAGATATTAATATCGTTTTTTTTAGACCTGCTTGCTCGGCTATGCCAAGATGATAGCGCTTCAGGGGAGTATGCCCAATATCTGCGCGGTGTCCGGCGGCATGTCCAACGTTTGTCCGGCAACGCCTACTCATCTGAGAAGTTTCCCGTCTCTCTGCGCGACATCGTGCTCAAGGTCGCTGTCTGTTCGATATCTCTCGATTCTCTTTAGTTTTGCTTGCGAATTCTGTCAACGAGTTTGATTGATTGTTGCAAACCGACAGCGTCACCGGCGAGCTCGCGCACCACGTCGTTAAGGAGCACGCGAGGAACGTGGGTTATTACCCGCACATCTGTCACTCGCAACCGAGTCCGATGTTGGCGAAGGAGCGGGGTATGGACAGCAGAACGAACAGCACGACGTCCCTGCCGGTGAACTTGCCGGGAAGATCCGGCAATTCGCTGGACAGAAGACGACGACGATTCCGCAACCGCGTGGACCGCGATCAGAAGACCATGTCTCACAACGACCTGTTTCATCACGAGAAAGATCGGCTTCATCACTACTGCTCGCTGCAGCATTTCCACTGCGGACACAATGCGTGCATGAATAGTTATCATAGTAAAACCGAGGTATATAAATGTATATACACATGGAAAAGAACTTTCCCAATAAAACTTCCGACTGCGCGCAGTGTAAATTATTTTCCCCGTTTCTTCTTATTCGTACGTTAAACACATTCGTCATCATAGAGACGCGGTGGTCTCAAGAAACTCTTGCTATCACTAGAGTTAATAATCGTCCTTTGTTCTTCTTTTCAGGAGCGACTGAGAAAGTTGGAAAGCGAACGCGGAGCGCTGCACATGGAAATGTCGGTTTTGTCCGAGCAAGTTGACGCGCAGTCGAATAAGATTCAAGAACTGGAAAACATGCTCCAAGAGAAAAAGGACACTTTGAGACAGATGGAAGAGGCGTTGCAAAAGGCAAGATGTTTTTGCGATTTTATATGTCACTGCGGAGTCTTGAATATATTGATAATAAAAAGTTTCTGTACGTATTAATGTTTTTTTTTTTTTTTTTTTTTTTGCACAGGAAGTTCTGTCGAGAAGCGCTCTGGAGACGCAGAAGTTGGAGCTTCTCACGTCCTTGTCGGAAATGAAACTCAGACAAGCTAGTTTGGAACACGAGAATCTGGCGCTGCGCAGCGCGAGTCTCTTATCGAATGTTCGTATACGCGTGAACCACATATAAATAAACCTCTTTGTTGTTACAAAGAGAGAATGTTGTGGGATCTTTTGTGTATTTACAGAGCGAAAGATTCAGCAGACACACCGGTCAATATAGTAGTCTTCCTAGGCCACCGACGTCGAAGAAGGGCGTTGTGTTTGGTAAGGTTCCAAATTTAGTTTTGGGAGCGCATACAACGGTACCCTTGGCTGTTAAGGGAGTCACTGCGAGATGTCTGTCCGCTCCTATTCTAGGTTTCGATCGATCTTTGTCTAAGCATGCGGTGTCACGTTTACATTTGGTTAACGATGAATACATCGCAATATATATACATATGTTCATTTCGATAGTAACAGCATGCTGGTTATAACTAATTGGCAAATAACTTGCTTATGCAGAACCAATCAATGCGCATGCATATTTCGGTCATTTTTGTCATCACTTGAAGGATGTAGTTGCAAAATCAGAAGTTTTCACTTTTCAAAAGTTTGGAATTTTTATGTTCTACGTGTAGTTTTTACTATGTAGTCTGTACTGTGATTTGAAAATAGGCCAATTTTTTTCATAAATTTTCATAATTACTTGCGAGTGGAGTTCGCTGATTTGCAATCACATCCTCTATTACTTAATGTATTACGTACATATTTTACCTACAAGTCTGCAATGTTTGTTCTTGAACTACTTGTGGTTGTAACTGGATATTGATGGTGTTTCGTAGCGGAGGAAGAAAAGACTATTATCGGCGAAGCGAGCGGGCAGGTGGAATTGCCGCCATCGAAACCGCTCGCGGAGCTCACCATGGAGGAGATCGGCGACTGGCTGGCGCGTCTCGGTTTAGAGTGTTACGCGGCCGAGTTGCGCCGTTGGGGTGCCACCGGATCGAAGCTGCTCGACGCCACGCAGGTGCAGCTGGACAAAGACCTGGACATAAAGAACAGTCTGCACAGAAAGAAGTTACTCTATGCCATTGAATGCGAACGGAGCAACGGCGCTGGATTCCTCGGTTCTCACAAGGTTGCGGTCAATGCGCTATCGTTTTTGGGCTTTGCCCGAGAGAGTTCGATATTCTAAAGAGATTTATTTCCAATATCCTGCGCAGATGGACAACGCTGCTGTATTACGGTGGCTGGACGATATCGGACTGCCGCAACACAAAGAAGCCTTCCACAACGCGAAAATCGACGGCAGAGTGTTGCACAGATTAACCACGGAAGATCTTCTGAATCTCGGCGTGACCGCGCAGTTGCACGCGGCCAGTTTAAGACGCGGTATTCAGGTATTCCAAGAGAGAGAGAGAGAGAGAGAGAGAAAGAGAAGACGTAGAGATTGTTTCGTATATTGTGCCAAAGCAATAGAATGAAAAGTAAATTGCGCAGGTGTTGCGAGACTTGAATTTCGAGTTCGACAATCTGGAAAGGAGATCTGTGAGCGGCAACGGCGCTGACGGCACCAACGTGACTCTCTGGACGAATCACCGAGTGATGGAGTGGCTGCGCGTCGTGGATCTCGCCGAGTACGCGCCGAACATGCGCGGTTCCGGCGTTCACGGAGGTTTGATGATACACGAGGATCGTTTCACATCCGAACTGCTTGCCACGTTGCTCAGCATTCCGCCGGCAAAGACTCTATTACGCAGACATCTGACGACGCACTTCAATCAGATTCTAGGCAGGGAGGTGGTCCAGCACAAGAGGGAAATCGAGAACACGCTGGGATTTGTTCCGTTAACGCTCACCGCTAGATTAAAGGTCCGTTTTTATTGTTCTTCTGTCAGAATTTTTAATATAATAAATAACAAATTTATTTATTTATTTTTTTTTTTCAACTAGGTACCAAAGAAATCTCAGTTCACGTTGAAGCGGAAGAAGAGTAAAAACGAAGTAGATTTCGGCAATTTGGTTTGCCCGTTGGAGGCGTCACCACCAGGTACCCCATCAACGCCCTCATCAACACCGAGCAGCCCTAACTTGAACTCACCCACATTCTAACCACAATTATAAAGCTTCATTCGAATAATCATCTAAACTAACTTGTAAGTCTAACTCGACTAATTTATATTACAGGGCCGCATTTATTATAGGGAAACGTACCTTTTTTTGCAAGTTAATATATACATCGCGCTTCATTTTCAGTTAACTGTCGATATTTCTTGAAAAATCTTGTACTTCGCCGAAAATTTCATCACAGCATCAATTTTGTGTATCTAAGCTGTGTGGTTAAATAAAATTGTGTAATTTTTTTCAGATTTGGAGGATACTGGACAAAGAAAAGTCATAGGTTGCATATAAATCAGACGAGAAATTTGCGACGAAAAACAAAAACCCAATGAAAGAATTCTATCATCAGGATGTCGAGTTGTCTGGGACCAGTTATCCGTAAATTGCATAGTTATGTAAAACAACACTTCGATCAGAAGTTAAATAAATGAGATCCCAATTCTACTTAGCGCGAACTCGTGACATGGTATTTCGCGTATTTTACAGGAATTGTGAGAATCTTCAATTCCGCGTAACGTCTCTGATTGATCGAAGCGCGTTTTCGACCCGATCAATTACAAGTCAATTGAATCATTTGAAGGCAAATGGAAAAGTGTAAACATTTATTTCATCTAAGTAAAACTAATGCAAACGATTTATAAATATTTTTTATAAATCGCTTCAACTTTTAAATAAAATAAAAACGTTTATATTCTTCGATTGGCTTTTAATCGTCGGTCAAACGAAATCCGCGAAACATTGAGAATTTGCACATGCCACGAGCAATCCGCACATCCCAACACCGCCAAAGCTCGTATAATAAACTATTATAAAAGTCTACAATCATTCGCCTTAGAGAATAAATATTTTTACTACGATTCATGTTAAGTAAATTGTAGATACTTCATGAACTGAAAATAAAGCGCAAAATTTATATCTACACTCTCTGTATGTTTGATTTTTCTGAACTTACGTGAACTGGAACGTATGGCGCACAAAATTCAAAAGTTGTGATTGGTGGAGTGCACCTTTTTTTACGGCGCTTGCGCATAGAACAGTTCGTCGCTTTCGTGGCGCTGCTCGACCAGGTTCTCGGCTCGGTTCTTCTCTTGGTGCCACGCAAAGATGGTGAGTGTCTTCGAACTGCGAGATTTGTTCCGTAATCCAACGATATCCGAAGCATCGTCATTGCGTTCGCGGTTTGCTTGCGAAAAATATATGCGCGAATAAATCGCGAATCTTTCTCTTCAATTATTACATCTTCAAATTCTTTGAGAATGCCACATCGTGCGCATTGTTTACGAGGTCTAACCTCAATAATAATTTTGTTGAGTGCGTTTCGTTCTGGCACTTGAATGCAATGACCCGACTTGTGATTTTATTTAATCGACGTTAAAATTTATTAAATCTTCTCATTCTCTCTCGTAGTCTACACATAAGAAGAAGACGAGGAAACTGCGTGGACATGTGAGCCACGGCCACGGTCGTGTCGGTGAGTTTCGGCCACCTTTTGTTGCCTAACGCACGTGTCACAAATTTTTTGATGAGAATGTCGCATCTCTCGACAACGATCTCGACAACTAATAATAATTCTTGTCTTTTCCGTTTTTCAGGCAAACACAGGAAACATCCTGGTGGCCGTGGTAATGCCGGCGGTCTGCATCATCATCGTATCAACTTCGACAAATACCATCCCGGTTATTTCGGAAAGGTAAAAAACTTGGATCTTGTAGAACTTTACGTTGGAATTTTATATTTCGCATTTTTTTCTAATTTTATCTCTTGAATCCGTGTAGCTTGGTATGAGAAATTATCACTTAAGACGCAATACAAAATGGTGTCCCACCATAAATTTAGACAAATTATGGACTCTGGTCTCCGAACAGACGAGGTTGAAATACAAAGACGTTGAAAACAAGGCACCCGTCATTGATCTTACAAAGGCAGTAAGTGAACTTTTTCTGCTTGTACATAAGAATGTTTTTTTTTTTTTATACTTGATATTTGATATTCTAAAAAACAAACAATACATATGATGAGTTGCAACGGGCGGTCTGAAAGTGCGTACAACACTAATATTCGTGTAGATATTGTTGCTTATCTGATCAACAAAATCATTAAAAACTTATTGAAAGTCTGTAGTAAATATTGTTAAACTGCATCACTAAATTTGATATTATGAACTATTTTTGTTTTCAGGGTTATTATAAACTTTTGGGAAAAGGACGCCTTCCAAAGCAACCTGTTATCGTTAAAGCTAAGTTCTTCAGCAAGCGGGCGGAAGATAAGATCAAAGCAGTCGGTGGCGCGTGTGTCCTGTGTGCGTAAACATCTGGTATGTTTAACATCTGTTTTTTTAAATATATGTATAAACTTTATTATCGCGAAGTTAGTTTGTATATATGATGATTATTGTAACGGGCGGACTGATAAGGGACATATTATCTGTGTTGATTGTTACTGTACTGATGTATAACTCGACAAAATTATTTTAACACAAATCTATCAAATCACAATAATTAATAAATTTGTGTATTTTATTTTCAGAATATTACAACTTCTCCGGATACAAAATGGAAATAAATGTTTTTTCGCTATATAATAAATATGTTTTCAACATACACATACAGTATTGTTGTTTCTCTCCCCAAATGTTTTCTCCCTAATTCTCTGTACACAAGTTTCTCCTTTTGTGCTAATTTCTCACAGTCATACACATCAATTTTTTTTGAAATATTTCTTCAAATATTTCTTTATATCTTAATGCAATTTTTCGTAAAAAATTACACGTTGAAATATATAAAATTATTTAAAAGATTCGTAAAGTTTTAATTCAGGAAATCGTGTTTGTTCCGATTGTCTTATGCTATATGAGGCGGCGGAGGAGGAATTTGCATTCCCGTTGCCAAAAGAGCCGGTGGCGGAGGTACCGGATTGAATATCGGTGGTCTGGGCGGAGGTGGTGGAACGGGTACCATCGGACCCAATCCAGGCCTTATCAAGGGAACAGGCGGTGGTGGCACTTTGCCCACGGATGGTTTCTCATTTTTGAAAGCAAACTGCAGGAAGAATTGTTTGGTGTCCTTGTTCCAGTGAGTCCAAAATTTTCCTTCTGCTTTCTCTACTTCTCTACTAGGTACCTGCAAATTGTCGTAAACAACATTTAAAGATAATTCAACAATGTACACATTTATAAAGTTCTTGATCGATACGAGTATATAATTTCTAATAAACCTACATCACTAAACTTACCAAACAACAAACACAAAAAGTAAACAGTTTCTTACTTTAAAAGCTATGGTTTCGTAAGGTTCAGCCGCGAACAGCAGATACTGCCATTTTCTGTCAGGCGGTTCAACCCTTTGCTCGTAAGCGGACATAAACCTGTGTCGCGGTATCACATTGTCCGCCACCTCCGGGTAGTCCACTTGGAACAGAAGACTCTGCTGACCGGATTCTGGATCGCGCTGTTTGGTCACGCGATAACCAGGTCGACCGATTTTAACGAACTTCTTCGGTTCGACCCGAGGCTTTTCCGGCGCCAAGGTCTGCGGTGCTTCCTTGGCCTCCTTGGCCGCTCTTCTCGCTAGATTAGCCTGATGCTTCTTACCCTGTGTGTGGGCCAAGTAACTGCCCTCGTTATTGTGCAGAGTTAGACAGAGTTTGCATTCGTACGAGCCCAAGTGATTCTTCATGAAATAGGGATCTTTGTTCAGGTCGATGGTTTCCAGAGCGAGCTGGCGTAGACGTTCCCGGCGATCGCGATTGCTCTCCGACCAGGAAGCGACGCCGCCCCCGCCGGTTTTGCCACCGGGACGATTTTGAAAATCCATCGCGCTTCTCGCGGAACGAAAACGGGAACGAAGATGTGTTCCTCAGTCGGAAATCCCTCGTAAATACAGAAATGACGCGGTGCAAGTAAAACTTAACCTCGCAACAAAAGAGGAGGTTAGCTTGTGACGTTCCGTTCTCTACTTGTCCACAAATATCGCGATCCTTCAAGTCTTGTTTCCACGACAACATTGAAAATCTCGGAACGGAGAGAGAATCGACCAATCCGATTTGAACAATTCGGCGAGAACTGATCAACGCGATTCGTCGATTCTCTCTTTCGTTCGAGATTCGCATCGAATTCTAATCATCCGTGTCGTCGCGTGGACACAGGGGGTTGGGATTACCTTTCCTACGCCAATGATACGCCGTTGGAGCTCGTCACGTGGTCGCTGACCTCGCTCACGCGTGTGTGCGCGAGTACGAATATAATGAAATTTTTCCGAAACTCTCTCCTATCACTTGGAAACAAGGTCCAATTCGTGCTGCGAATGCTTCGAGATGTGATTCTATCTTTATTCGTCATGAAATTGTCATTAAATGAGCGGGATAAAGATAGAACGATGCGCTCGCAGCGCGACTCTGATCCTGCGTGCTCTGAGTTTGCTGTTGTTATGAGCAAGCACTTGTTGACTGTAAATAATAGCGAGAAGCGTATCAGACGGAAGAGAGCTCGACCAGACGATGTATAATAATCAGCACATGGTTCGATTTCACAAGCCATGAGTTCGACATTTTGTTTATCGCCGAACGTCTTGTTTTGCGAATTTTATTAATTATAGAATCGCGCTGTTACATACTTTATATACCTTTACATGCGTATATCGATTCTTTGTTGACAAACGCTTTGTGTTGACGTCCAAAAACGATGGCCGCGAGGGGTATTCACAACCTGAGATTTAATCAGGATCAAGGTAAATTAGCGCGACTGTTAATCAGCAGTTTTTGGATCGTCACGATCCAAGAGTTTGGTTTTATTTTATCTTTTTTTTTCTTGTAGGATGTTTTACGTGTTGCATGGAGTCAGGATTGCGAATTTACAATGTGGAACCACTAGTGGAAAAGGCGCATTTCGACAGCGAATTAATGGGCAGCATCATCATAGCGGAGATGCTCTGGAGGACAAACGTGATTGCTGTTGTAGGCGGTGGCAATCGTGCTAAATTCGCTGATAACACGGTTCTAATTTACGACGATCTGTTGAAGAAATTTGTCCTGGAAGTCACTTTTACCAGTCCGATTAAAGCGGTCAGATTAAGGAGGGACAAGTGAGTTATTTGTAGTTTATGTTTTTATCTCTCAGATAAAAAGATATTTCTGTTACGTGGAAATGTAATTGTTTCTATTGCAGAATGGTAGTGGCATTACAGAAAGAGATTCACGTGTTTTCGTTTCCCACTCCTGTTAGGAGATTACTCACACTTGAGACCAGAGACAATCCAACAGGCTTGGTGGAGATAGCGACGCTCGCTACAGCGCAGAAACAGCTACTTGCATTTCCTGGTCACAAAGTGGGTAGTGTGCAGTTGGTAGATCTCGGAACCACCGAGACCGGAAGTTCCAGTGCCCCTGTTACTCTTTCGGCGCATCAGGTAATGGCGCTTCGATAGTTTACAGAGCATAACCATCGTATTTTGTTACTCAAATGTTTATTCAGTTGTATTCTTATTTGTATTGCAAAATGACAACAGAGCGCCTTAGCTTGTCTGGCGGTTAACGGAAACGGGACTATGATTGCAACCGCGTCCGTTCAAGGAACTTTGATCAGGGTGTGGGATTCTGTGCGCAGATGTTCGTTAGTCGAATTGAGGCGCGGTGCCGATCCCGCTACGTTTTATTGGTAATTTAATTCACAAGTGTGACGTCATGACGGCAATTTTTTTATTTAACCAATTTGTCAATTCTAATACCTTTTTTTTTTCAGCATAACTTTTAGCAGAGACTCAGAATTTCTTTGCGTCTCGAGTGACAAGGGAACGGTCCACATATTTGCTCTGAAAAACACCAGTTTAAATCGACGATCCACGTATGTAATTAACGTTTGTTTTTAGAACAGAAGATGATAAGTTAGTAATTTTGTTCTACAGAACGCGCGATTGTACGACTTTGTTTGTTTACTTCTGGTTTAGATTTTCGAACATCGGTTTTCTGAGCAATTATGTCGAGAGCCAGTGGGCGCTTGCCAACTTTACGGTACCTCCGGAATGTGCATGCGTCTGTGCATTTGGCACACACAATTCTGTGATAGGTAAGTACGTTTGCCTCGTACAAAGAAATTTGTTCTCTTTCTTATTTATTTGTTTAAGAAATAACAGACAGGTCCTATAAAACATCCTGTGTGTGATAAGAGACTAGACAAGATAATATAAAAACAAATAAATATTTTTGCTTTCAGCTATATGTATGGATGGGACATTTCACAAATACGTGTTCACCGCGGAGGGCAGTTGCAATCGACAAGCATTCGACGTCTTCCTCGATGTTTGTGACGACGATGAGTTTTAACATATGGCCTATTGTATATGCGTGCGCGTAGTTAAAAAGATCAAAGTCTAGTCGGGTCGCGAATGATCTTGGATGTGATAACAATAATGCAGAAATCACTTATTATGTAGGAAGTACACAGACACACGTACACACACATAGAAATATCTTGAGAAACTTAACATTCTCGACGCAATTTTCAACTTTTAATGTTTTTCATGTGTACTTTCCACAAGTGTGTGATTGTACAGTTGTAATAAATATTAACAGATTTATTTTCTACAACAAACAGCCTTCAGTATACATTTCCCATATGTCCATTGTCATCGAATACATGAACATATAGAAAATCCAAACACAACACAAGATACATTCAGTCAGAGGAATCAAATACAAGTCTTTGAAGTAGTCTCACATGGACTTGCCTGAGGAGAAAGCTCGTTCTCTAATTCTCTCTAAAAAAAAACAATAACATGTTTACACCAAATATATTTATAATAATTCAACAAATAATATTCAACACTTGACAAAGTAAATACTGTATGGTTCAGGATTGATCAGGGGTTGTATCATAGAAAAGTAACAGCATGTTCCTATGGTGCCAATTATACCTCCCACAAACACACTGTATCTCCATCCTCTTAGTCGCATAGTTTCTGAACAATCTGAAAAGATTATGTATACACATTTTGAAATCATCGTTTTCTTTTGTTACTTAAAACGCGTTAAATAATTCAGAGTTCCATTTATAATGTTACTTCTTTTATATCCGACTCACATGTCACTTTGCGCGCTTTAAATTACACTATTGTCTCGACACCCATACTTCCATTATTATTCGGACGATTTGAAGGTTATGGAGTAAGAGGTGTACAATACCGTGCGTGTTATTTAAATGTAATGCGCATTGCCGCCGCTAAGTGGCAAATCAGTTACAGCGTGTTTCTCGATAGTACTTCGGCATGTACCGTTTGGTATATAAGAAAGAAGTTGGAGGGGGTCTTTCGTACTTGCTTCGGCAGTACATATACTAAAATTGGAACGATACAGAGAAGATTAGCATGGCCCCTGCGCAAGGATGACACGCAAAATCGTGAAGCGTTCCACATTTTTTGCACTTTACGATAACGGTTTTTTTTTTTTAACATCAACGTTATATTCGTCAAATTTAATTTAGTTACACGTTGATGCTTTTATTGTCTCGACACCCGTACTCCCCATTATCATTCGGACGATTTGTGAAGGTTATGGAGTACGAGGTGTTGTATCGTGCGTGTTATTTATAAATGTAATGCGCATTGTCGCCGCTAGGTGGCAAATCGGTTACAGCGTGTTTCTCGATAGTGCTTCGGTACGTACCATTTGGTATATAAGGAAGAAGTTGGAACGGATCTTTCGTACTTGCTTCGGCAGTACATATACTAAAATTGGAACGATACAGAGAAGATTAGCATGGCCCCTGCGCAAGGATGACACGCAAAATCGTGAAGCGTTCCACATTTTTTGCACTTTACAATGACGGTTTTTTTCAACATCAACGTTATATTCGTCAAATTTAATTTAGTTACACGTTGATGCTTTTATTTTTTTTTGTTATGTTTTTACGTTTAGAGAGAGAGAGAAAGAGAGAGATTAATTTTTTAAACATTTTTGAACAACATATATATACGATCAGATGTGACCGTTGTCAAAACGACGTCGACCGACGGTTACGGCCATGATAGCGTCCGTGGTTTTGTTCTCGTAGCGAACGTCAAAAAATTTTTTTTTTTTTTTGACTAAATGCGACTGTTACACGAGTGGCGATCATAGCGAAGAGAGAGCGTCCGTAAAGATATCATCTTGTCTTGATAACAGAGCGACGTGATTCTTGCGAGAGGATATGCGGTCTTGGACACCGGTGCCATTAGGAGGATAGGTTATAATCGCGCTTGACAGATGAATCGTTCGTAACACAAATTGTCAAAAAAGCGCAACATGTTAAAACGGTGTTTGTCCAATTTCGCGCTGGCCGGTGTCATCAGGCTGCTGTTGATGAACTCTGACTACCAGAAGATCATCAGCAATCGCGTGGAGGTATCGACCGCCCTGAACTCGTGGAAGCGAGGTTAGCTGCTTTTTGATTCATAAGAGAGATGTGTGTTTGTTTTTTCAATTAAAAGAATGTGAAAAGAGAAAAAAGGTATATTTGATGAATTACTTAAGGATCAATCAAAGGATTAAGATTGTGATTTATTAGCGCGCAGAGAACAGATGTTTTATAAACGAACCTTCAATCAATTTTCAGTGACGGAAGGTGTTTACTTGCACAATTTTGGAATAGACCCCTACGAGGGTGATCTGTTTCACGAGACTCCGATTGGCTTGTTTGTCTTCAATCTTATGCAGAAGTATTTACCGCAGTGGGCATTATTCTTGTTATTTGTTGTAAGCGACTTGGCGACTGCTTTGTGTCTCATCATTACCGCCAGGCATTATGCGATTGAAACGGTCAGTACCCGAAAGCGAACTTTTTATTCGCGAAGTCCGAATCTAATTCTTGCTGCGTGCGTTCATTAAAGCAATAATGTTTTTTTTTACTTTATTTCTCTTCTGATAATTTAATTTGCAGACGACAAAAAGGAAGGAGGAAAGCGACGAAAAGAAGAAACTCGACGACGCTATCAGTATATCACCCTTGTACGTTTCCGCGGCGTATTTATTCAATCCTTACATAATACTAAACTGTGTCGGTCTGACGACCACGGTTTTCACCAATCTGCTTTACTCGATCGCGCTTGTTTCGATGACGAGACGTTCGGTGCTCGGATGCTGCGCGTCAATAGCGTTGCTGACGCTACAAGGACTCTATCCCGTGTCTCTCATGGTACCGTCGACCATCTACGTGATCAGAACGGCGGAGAACAAAAAGTTGGGTATTGTTACGATGCTGATCACATTTGCGAGCATCTTGGCGGCTCTGTTTGCCGTTTCCTACTACATCATGGGAAGCTGGTCGTTCCTCTGGAGCACAATCGGCTTCATTCTAACCGTTCCTGACCTGCGTCCGAACATCGGGCTCTATTGGTACTTCTTCACGGAGATGTTCGAGCACTTCAGATGGCTCTTCATCGCGTCGTTTCAGATCAACGTCGGTTTGTTGTACATAGTCCCTCTCGCGCTTCGATTAAGGCGCGACCCGATGTTACTGGCCTTTTCCTACCTAGCAATAGCCGCTATATTCAAGTCATATCCGTGCATTGGGGACGTCGGGTTTTATATATCACTACTGCCGATGTGGAAGCATTTATTTCAACGTGAGTTGAAAATTGAATTGTTTCGTCATTAAATTTTATATAAAAATTTTTTTTTTTTTTAATATTCTTGATTTTTTTCAGATATGCAACAAGGATTTATCGTAGGTTGTTTCGTGCTGTTCTGCACGGTCTTCGCTCCGACTGTGTGGCACCAGTGGATCTACTCGAGGTCGGCGAACGCGAATTTCTACTTCGGGGTGACACTGGCTTTCGCCATAGCGCAAATCTTCCTTCTTACGGACATTCTGTTCGCAAGTGTCAAACACGAATTTGCTGTTCAGCACGGTATCAATAAGAAAGTTAATGGAAACGAAGCTAAACTGTTACTTGAATAAAATTATGGTTTTTCTAGATTAAAAAATGTGTATGTGTATCTCTCACGCTAAAACGAACTGTGATAAAACACACCGTAGGTGTTCGCGAGTAATAATACATACATTAATTGCGCGAAATATACGCGGACAAAAAAAAATAACAATAACAGCGTGCGCTACGATCCGAAATTGTCTCAAATTCAACGCCGAAGAGCGTGATGAAACTGGTGTGTGACGTCAGAGATTGATAAATAAAGATTACAAATAGTACATATATATATATATATAGCGACACATTTATTTAGTTTTTATATACACAGTACAAAATACTGCAAAGTATTTAAAGGAAATAGGTGCGCGGTTTGCGAACGCTGAACAACGGCATTCTGTTTCTGTGATGGATGCGCTTGGGCAGCGGGAACTTGATCTTGGAGTCGTGGAACTGTTTAACCTGCGGTCTGCGACAATTCATGGCTTTCACAACTTCCACCTTGATTATCTGAATTGAGTGAGCACGCGCGCGATGACGAGCTCCCATGTCTCGGTAGCACTGCGTTACAGCACCGCTGACGGAAAGATCTCTGTACTCCCGGTACATGTTGTGGGTGCCCGATCGCGAGTCGTATCTCAACCAGATGCCGAAGTTCTTGATCTTGGTTGGAGTTTTCTCCGGAATCTGAAACAAAAATTTGAATTGGAGTCACGAGACCAGAACAGTCACAACTGTACTGTGATACTGTTTTTTTTTGTTGCGATATGAACACAAATGTCAGTCGCGAGATCGAGTATACCTGCTTCAGGGATACAATTTCTCCCGTACTCTTCTTGAACTTCTTCAGCTGGCGCAAGAAGTACCAAAATCTTGACTTGGCGACAATCGCGTCCGGAGCGAAGATTCGCATTTTGTATAGCGGCGTATTCTTCTCCTTTTCCGTGGGCAGTTTACGCCCGATCACCTCGAATTCCTTCAACTAGAAGAGAATAAATATTTTATCATCGGAATAAAAATATTTTCAAGCTCGTTTATAATCGACCGGTTTTGCACGTGCTAACACATGTTGACGAGCAATTATAGGTTAAGCTACGACAAACTTTTTGCTTTGTAATTTAATTTCACGTGTTTACACAAATCTCAGCGAACATTCGACGCTTCAAACAACGCAAGAAATAGTTTTTAAAAACATCAATCTTATAATATAACAAGTAAAAATGACTTACTTCTCCCTTAGCCTTCATTGTCGCAGTCTACTTCAATCGCGTTAACCGGAAAGGAAACTATCGCCATGGTGGAAGAAGAACGGAAGCGACGCGAAGGCCATTTGCGCGCGCGAAAGTTTCAATCGCGAGCAAACCGACCGATCACAGGCTCGTCTTCCGTTAGCGAGAAAAGCACATTATTCAAACCCGAAAAAGCTTCGTTCTTATTTCGTAGAATAGGGAATAGGATAAAATAGATAAAATTATCACAAAGGTTTTTATATTTACATATTTACAATAACTCTGCGAATAATTTTTAGATTTAATAATAAGATATATAAATTGTTTAATAATCCGCAGCGTTGCTGGCCAGATAATCGCGGCGACCGATATTGGACGCTTGCTTGTTCTGCACAGCTTCCAGTTTGGGACACTCTGTGATCCTGTGTCCAAGTCCACCGCAGTAACTGCAACCACGTTCGTCTGCGAATAAAAGAAAATACAAGTCGCAAAATGAGACGAGAGCGAACCAAGAAACACTAAATCAGAGACAACATTGCTGACTACTATCTCACCTCCGAGATTGAGATATTTTTCGTTCTCCGAACAAAGCTCGAGGAGGAAAGGCGGAACCTTTTGCTTGGCTTCCATCAGCAAATGTTTCAGATCAAGCAGTACAGATTCGTCGTTCGCTTTGTTGATAAACGTCGTCGCTATACCGATACGACCGGAACGACCGGTTCGTCCTATTCTGTGAACTGAATCAAGAAAAGTCACAGTCAGTATTCTTATCTCAGTTTTTAACATCAAGAGTTTCCGCGCAATCTATATATATATATTACCATAATTTTCCACGTCGTCCGGCATATCGTAATTTATAACGTGCTTCACGTCGGCAAAATCGAGACCCTTGGATGCAACGTCCGTCGCGACGAGCACATCCTTTCGACCCGCCCGGAATGCTTCTACCGAACGCGATCTTTCTTCCTGATCTGAAATAAATAAAATTTTAATCTATATATCTTAGGAAGACACTTATTTGTTATTTATTATAAAAAAAAATCTCGAAATATTCTCTACCTATCCCTCCGTGAATCGCGACAGCTTCCACTCCCTTTATGAGCAAGTACTCGTGAATGTTGTCCACGTCGCGTTTCTTTTCCGCGAATATCAATACCGGGGGCGCGGTCTTCTGCAGACATTCCAACAGATAGACAACTTTAGCCTCTTGCTTGACGTACTCAACTTCCTGTATCACGTTCATCGACGCTGCTCCGGCACGGCCGACATTTATCGTTACCGGTTTCACCAAAGCCGAACGCGCGAAGTTTTGAATTCTCTTCGGCATTGTAGCGGAGAACAACAACGTCTGCCTCTGGCCCTGAAAACAAACAAAATTTTTATTATTTTCAAACTAACTGCTCGAAGTGTCTTTAACTTCGTGACGCGCAAACAAAAAAGTGCAAAATAAATTACCCTGAAAAACGAAAATATCGTTCGCACGTCTTCCTCAAATCCCATGTCTATCATGCGATCCGCCTCGTCCATGCAGAGATAACGGCAGAGACTTAACGTAACCATCTTTTTGTGCAACATGTCCATCAGACGTCCCGGTGTCGCTACCATTATGTGTACACCTCTATGTGAGCAATAAAGAATTTAGTACAAGTTTGTATACAAATGTATAGAAAACAAAAAAAAATATCGAGAAATACTGACTTGTTGATCACAGCTAACGATTCCGAAACCGGCACACCTCCGATCGCCAAACAACAGCGAATTTCCGGACAATTCATCTGTCTTAAGCTATTGGTGTAGTGCCGAATTATGTCGTAGGTTTGTTTGGCCAACTCTCTCGACGGACATATTATCAATCCTGTAAAACAAAACACATTAAAAAAAAAAAATATTAATATTTGTATACATAAATGTTATTATTATGTTAGTGTATTAGATGTTTACCATAGGGTCCTTCTCTCTTGATAAAAGGCATGTCGATTTCTTGCTCCAAACAAAACTGGATAACTGGTAAAACAAACACCAAAGTCTTGCCACTTCCGGTGGATGCGATTCCGATCATGTCTCGTCCTGACAATCTGCAACGCATTTGACATTTAGTTTCTAGATCAATCGCTATGCTACTAATCAGATGCTACAAACATGTTAAAAAAAAAACTACTAACACTGTGGGTATTCCTTGAACTTGAATCGGCGTTGGCTTGACAATGCCCTTCTGCTCCAATCCGTACAGAATACCTTTGTGAAACTTCATTTCTCTGAAAGTCTTCAGTGGCGGAGGTACTTCGTCACCTTCCACAATTATTCTGAGCCTTCTCCTTACTTTCTCGTGACGTGCCTCGCCGAGATTGAGTATTATCTTCGGCGGTTTCCAATTGGTCTTGATAGGATCCTTGTATTGAATACCCTTGGCTAATTCAGCCACGCCCATCAGAGCTTTGTTCTCAGCAACACTCTCTAGGATCTTTTCCTCCTCTTTCAACTGCTTTTCCATAGCACTCTCCTTCTTGGCTAAAATGTCACAATAATCAAAAACATAGCGATCATTTAATACACGTTACAATATTATAAAAGAATTGTGCAAACACGAAGTCTCAAAAGTTCAAACCTTCTGCCAATTTCTTTAATTCAGTATGTTGATCCAATAGAGAAATATTTGACTTTCTTCCCCAGACTTGTCCGTCGTCGTTGTCGGCGTCATCTCTCTCATTCTCACTGCTGCTTTTCCCAACGCCGTTCGTGTCTTCCTTCAGCTGTCCGAGCTTACCCACTTTTGTAAGCAATTGTCTTTTCCGTTGTTTGACCGGCACGTAAGGCACGTAATCGTCGTCAGTTTCTAGAGGACTGTCTTCCTCTTCCTCCTTTCTTCTATATCTCTGCGTCAAGAATTTTCAAAACAAATGCAAAACGTGCATTATTACAAAAACTTGTAACTTGTTGTTAGCATAAAAAATTGTCACATGAAAACAAATTTTTAACTAACCTTTTTCGAGGTCTCGTTGATTTCCCTTTCTGCGGACGTTTTCTGATTTTCCATTTTGGAAATGTCGAAAACTGCACAACACAGAAGCAATATATTCTCCTTACACAGTATTAATCATACGTTTCCTATTATCACACACCAGTGTTTTGACAAGATCTGAGGTTGTGTTTGGTTTAATAAGACCGACGCGCATGAAAAAATTTGTGATCCTAATCCTAAGGCTGGATCCTCATGCAGACACCGGCGCTTCGACACCGAGCGTTGATTGGTGAAAAGCGGATGGTGAGGGTAAACGGCAGCTCTGTTAATTTACCCTCACCACCTGCTTTTCACCAATCAACGTTGGGTGTCAAAGCGTCGGTGTCTTCGTGAGGATCCAGCCTCAGCCAATCACAGACGAGCAATGCGAAAAAAGTTCTAGAATATTCTCACCTGTGATTGAACGAGTTTTCTCGTGTGCTCCCGGCTTAATACCGGAAATGGACGTCTGTTCTAGAAAAGGCAACGCCACATCGACGCCATAGCTGACATATAGCTGGATCCGTAGCGGTTGCACCTTCCTCTTTTGCTGCATCCCAATTTGCGAGGTACGTATTGCTTGTAATCCAATTTTTAAGCGAAAAATATTCGCAAGTTAATGCGCATTTAAGTTTGTACAACGTTTTATTGTTTATATTTTATTATCGATCGCTTATTTTTTGTGTTTTGTACTAGAACTTGTAACGCAGAAGGGTAAGCACGTTCTGGTAAGCACGTTTTCCGCGTTTAACCTAATAAGAGCACGTTTTTCCCGTGCTATGTCGCTCGCGATATCACAAAATCACGTAGGATCTGGTCGTCTCAAACATAATAATATAAAAATAATAACTTTTATTCGATGGTTTTTTTTATTCAATGTTTTTTCATACAATTTGCTGGATGGGGAGGGGCGAGGGGGGAGGGGCCCTAATGACTCTATCCTCCATTAGGAATTTATGGAATGTAAGAAATTTACACTTAATGCTTTTTTAATATGTAATTAATCGAAGTTGTTTATGTTACAGAATCTTCGTGTTCGAAGAAATTGAAAGAGACAAATCTTCTTGCTTAGAAAATCAGAAGATACAACACAATCATGCAGCTGCAAATTCGAGGACAGGAAACTCACATGGTCACGTGTGACGAAAGTGACAAAATACAATCCATAAAGGTATAAATATTTTTGGAAACAATATTTTATTCAGTATAAGAATATTAAACCAATTACATGGATTGAACAAAGATGAACAATCTTTTTTATACACTTGATAGCAATTGTTACTTGTTTTCTATTGTGAACAGTCTGCGTGACTTAGCATTAAATGATAAATCTAGCATTTGTTTGCATGATGCTAGAGAGAGCAATAATGCGAGATTGAACATGTAAAATTTGTTATGAGAATGAAAGAAATTACACTTTCATTCTTCGTCTTGTTTTTCGACATTTTCAAGAAAAAAAAACGACTTTTTTGTTTGGAGATTGGTATTGATTTGTGTGATTTCTGTTTGCAGGAGAAAATTGCGAATCTTCACGAAGTTGATGGAGAATTTCATTTTTACTGCAACGGTGCTTTTGTGAGCGACGACACTTGCGTTAGCGACCTTCCGTCGGACGTACTCGAGTTGACTGTACCTTTACTGGGAGGTATGTTAATATTTTTAGAAGATACAACTTTTCTAGAAGTATATCGAAGTGTGAGTTAATTCGATTTGATGTTAATTTGATTTTGTTTTTTTTAGGCAAGGTTCACGGTTCTTTGGCACGTGCTGGTAAAGTCAAGGCTCAGACACCTAAGGTACACTGAGATACTCTCAGTTTTTTTATTTACTTGAATTTATATAATTTAAATGATTTTGTTACGTAAAAACATTTGAGTTTATGTATTAAAATTACATGTACAATTGTTTAACACAGGTTGAAAAACAAGAGAAGAGCAAAAAGAAGACGGGTCGAGCGAAACGGCGGATCCAGTACAATCGTCGATTCGTCAATGTTGTACAGACCTTCGGCCGCAGGCGCGGACCCAACGCCAATACTAATTCATAAGATATTTCCATTATTTAAAATATTATTTGTTACACACAATGTTCGTTATACACGCAAAATATGCATATAAAATAAATAAAACATCGTAAGCGATATTTTATAAATTTAAGAAATAATTTATATTTTCTCTTTTATCTCTTTGTTTGTTTTTTTTTTTTTTTTTTTTAACTAAAATATGTGGACTCGATCCGATTTTTTGGAAACGGTTTGAAATGAGCGTAAATTGGTTGTAAAACAAACATGAAATGAAATAAAAAAACTGCTTTTTTTTATACACGTACGTGCTTTGTAGGTCTGACGAATGAATTTTGTAATGCAAATCCTGATATGACATTTGAGGTTTTATTTACAAGTGGAGTCGCGCGTAACGAAAATTCGAAAATTCCGACGTTATGAACGATGTTGTGCACAAAATTCTAGAATACACGATTGGAAGCGTGTTCGGCAAGGACATTACTTGCAGAGAGCCCGTGGACCGTTGCGACGATTATCAACCGGGCTCTTTGGTGGAATTAGGAAGAACCGGCATTAAAGTACGATTTAAAAAGTAATAAATTTATTTGTGTATTGCGCTTTGTGTTTCTTTTTTTTTTCTTTTTTTAATGCAAAAGTAAGGTTTCGTTTTGAAAGCGAGTCCGATGATTGCGTCAGAATTTTGTTCGGCCCCCGGTGAGACGCGACTTGAGATATCAAATCTGGTTTTTTGTAACTGCGTCACGTTGTTCTCTTTGAAAATTGCATGAGCCAAGTAGATAAGCGTGATAATAATTAACTCTCTCTCTCCGAAGAAGAGAGGGAAAAGTACACCAGGTGCAGGTACGAAGAACACACGTTACTCCAAGCTGCTGATTGTCGTTACGGTCAGTAAGTGCAAGAGTCTTCTGCTAGTATGCTAGCTCGCAAACTCGTGAGAGCGTTGTCAAAATTTGAGAATTTTTGTGAGAAATTGAATCTTACGCGCGCACAAAAGCGCAGTGACAAAACGTAACGACATTTAGACACTAGATTTTGATATACAACTTCTTCGAGAAAAGAAAATACGCAATGGTGCGTATGCGGTAATGCGATTGCACAAGCTTGTGATTTTACATATATGTAGATAGACATGTATATTTCAAACGTAACGTGTATATTATTATAAATTCTTGTCGTTTGTGTGTTAAAGTTGTTCAAGAAACTGTTGATGCCGTGCGGGTTATGCGCGGTACCAATAGCAAACCCGTCAGCGAACGCGTCATCGGACAAAATGTCAACCGTCAGCGGGGAAACAAAAGCCAAGAATCTGATCCGGCCCTCCGAACTGCCTATTTACTCATTCGAAGACTCTAAACAGGCTCCATGGTAAAGCACAAGTAATTGCCATTGTGTACGTCTATTACGTCAGACTTGTGTGCGGATGAGACAATTTAATTTTTGGCTTGGATAATTAAGAAATTCTTGCTTAAAGTTTATCGAAAATAGCCAAGGGATATTTGCTGATTTATTATTTTTACATTGAGAAGTCTCTGTAAATTTATTGCTCATGTTGTGTACGTTGTGTTAATTGTTGGTTTTTTTTTTTGTGTCACAGTAAGGAATATCAACCCTCAGCCTTGGAGCAAAACATATCCAAATTTCGGAAGTCGCTCCAATCGGTCGTTTCGGAGTGTCAACATTACACCGGCGTTATCACGGATACCATCGACATTGGGATTGAACACAGCAGATGTATGTATGAGAAGTTACGTAAAACAAGATTTTACACGCGAATGCTAGTTGGGTATTTTAATGTGCGACGCTGAGATACGTCATTTCGTTGCAGCTATGGTGGATTATCTTCGCGAGGAAAGCAACGTGATGCCGCGAATGGGTGCCATCGGTATCGGCGGACTGGCCGGATTGGTTCTCGGACTCAGAGGACGCACGTTTAAACGTGTAGTGTACACCAGCACCGGCGCTCTCGCCATGGCAGCTCTGTGTTATCCCAAGAAGGCGGAGGAAGGCGTCGAGACGGCGAAACATTACATACGCATCAGTTACAACTTCATTTACGGCGGTAATAAACGTCAGATCTGTTTTTAGGGAATCTATGTGGTTTTGTCAGAATAAAACGTCGGAAGTAAATTTCAGTCAGGCCGGGCGACAACCGAGAACTGGAATTGCCGGAGTTGCCAAACTTTCAAATTCCAACATCGTTTTCGGAATTTGCAAATTTAACGGCTGAAACGACCTCAGCACTGGCTACTGCCGTCAGTAGCTTTGCATTGGATGCGTACGCATCTTTGAGTGCTGACAAGGAGGTAGGATGCAACGACGATCCTTCATATTGCATCGTCCCTCCCTCGCACCTCAATTACGTCGAATCCTCTTTTTGTTTGTTTTTATTGCGATTTTTAAACGCGCGTTGGGAAAATGTGAATTTACATCAATGAAACGTTTTAAATAATAGTAGAATGTCGTTACGAATTTTTATTCCTGCTTTTAATATACGCATCGATATACGAATTAGTTTATGCCGGTCAAGATAAAGTCGATGGCACCTGCGAGGTAGCATATCGTCCCGAGGAAGTCTCCGAATCGACGGTCGAGAGCACGTCGTCCGTGTCTGAGGCGTACGTTCGAAATACGGACGATCACAGAAGTTGACGAAAATTTATAAATTTAGGTATAAATTGTACAAATCTCAATCGCATATCGGAACAGTCTCTTTTCTAGTTGGAAAATTAAAAAAAAAAAAATACTTTTTATTTTTGTCCGTCCTATCTCTATCCCACGCTACGATCTTGCGAAAACTTTGGCACTTCGTAACAATCTCGCTTGTACACTTTGTGTTAACTGAACACATTTCGCGAATCCAACATTTTTCTTATTTATTCTCTTTGTATTTCAGGGAAAACAATCGGCGACTAAGTCGGACACCAAGCAAGACTAGACGTTCTGTGACAGTGCAATGTAGTAAAAAAAAAAAAAAACCAAAAATCCAACTTTGCTACATAGGGAGAGAAAAAAGAAAATCTACAAATTATATATACGACCTACGAAAAAATTGTATAAAATAAATCATTCTTTAACCTAAGAGAGAGAGAGAGAAAGACGATCCTTCGTGCTTAATGTGTTAAAAAATAAAATGTGCGTTTTGCGGTTCCACCTCTGATCTTTTTTTTTTTTTTTTCAATCATATACATTCAACACGCACGTCTTTTTTTGTCGCGCGATATAAATAAAATGTCGAGTACAAATTTGGAATCGATTGGGGAAAAACGAAGTGTGCGTTTTTCTTCTCGAGAACTCGAACACGCCGTTTATTCGGCGTCGCGCGCAGCCGCGTCTCACGGTCTATCGACTGACGCGTATTTTTCCAGTCATCGTTCGACGACGACGACGACGGAATCTCGATCGTCAATCCTGACGACAACGTCGCGGGCGCGCAAAAGAAACCCATTCGCGAATCATCGTTCGCAATGAACGACGACGCCCTTGGTAAACCACCCGTTGCGTGGATGACGAAAAGCGCGGGCGCGCGCGCGCCCGACCGCCTTCAACCCCTATCTCGGCGCAATCTTTCCTCGAATTAACACGCGAACCGTCGAGGGAGAAGGTTGCGAGAACTCCGAAGATGTGATAAAACTCGCTTTTTTCCTGCGCCGTTCGAGAGAGACGACGAGGAAGTCGACACTTATAAATCATCTCCGGGGGATGATCGGAAGATTTATGAGATCGGACATTCGTGCGCGCTCGGGATGTTCTCGCTCGGATAGAATTTTCGGAGGAGGATCCCGCGATCGCGGGAGGAGGAGAACAAGCGCTCCTCGTGCGGAGGATCGTCGTTCCTGCGAAGTGTGTCGTTCGCGCGACGAAACGCGCGGATATCTCGCAACCTCGGAGTCGGATGCTGCGAACCGTGTGCACTGTGCATTGATCGGCTTTCGTCTACTTCCCGGGACGGGAAAAGAGATTCTGCGCGATTATACATACGATATATTTATATGAATACACGACGAGAGGGACGCGTCGATAAATCTCGCGCTAGACAGCGCGTAAAAACCGCTTGATTTGAGAAACAATTCAATTCAACACGGAGAGACGCGCGCGGTGTGCGTTACGATTGTTAGGTGAGCCCACGAACTGTGCTGCTGATGTAAAGCGCGTCACATATCGATCCTCCTCCGGTGTTTATTTTTACGAGACGGAGAAACATTGAGATTTTATTTTTAAAGTTGTGGAAAAAAAAAACAAAAAAATCGCGTTGACGAGAGAAACGCGCGGTTTTTATGCATTAGTTCGTATAATCGTAATTTGTACAGAAAATTGTACGGGAAATTAGAGAGGGCTGTGAGAGAGATCGATCTTGAGCGGAAACTTGACTCACGCGAGAAAAAAAGAAAAAAATTGCGCGAGAACACGCTCTCTCGCAAGATATATCGCGCGCACAAACGCGGCATTTTGTGTTGCGATAAAAAAAAAAAAAATGCTCGGTTTGCACACCGCGGACGAAAAGAGTGACAAAAAGCAAGTGGTATGGCGCGTGATGTGTTCGAAGAAATTCGTAAATTTCTCGCGCGAGACCTCGGGCGAGGACAATTAGATATCTCCCGGTTTGCTGCGACGATTGTTTTTTTTCTTTTCGATTAACTGTGCGGAGAAACGTTTGGCATTTCTCGAGTGGATATGGTAACTATGAACTCCGAAAAATCGGCTTGTCGCCGAAAGCCAGTGGAGAAGGTCGGCAGCAGCGGCAGCAGCAGCAAGAAGGGATCCGAGCACGTCGAGGATGCGGAGAAAAAGGACGAGGAGTGTCGCAACGAGTCGCCGGATTTGTCTCCCAACACTCCCACGTGTAACATCACTGCCTCTTGCGCCGAAGACACCCCCAATTATCTTGTCTACAAAAAGGTGACACTCGCGCGCGAACAGAGAGAAAGAAAGAGAGAGACAACATTGCGACAACATCTGTATCTTTATTTTGTGAAGTGATTATTATTTTTTTTTTGTTTTTTCAGATGGAGTCGATTGTGGAAAAGATGTTGGACGAGTTCACTGGCGTTCCCGTGAAAACGGTCAAGACCCTCATGACAAAAACGCCGTCTGTTTTTACGGGTATAGAAAATCTAAAATGTGTTGCTAAGTAACTTCGCGTATAGAAAAAACTAATTTATTTTTATAATATGTTTTTTTTATGATATTTACAAACTTATTAGAACATCTTTCAAAGAAATTGTATTTCTTTGTTTTCGTCTTTTGTTTTTTTTTTCTTTTTTTTTTTTTGCACACGATATCAAACTTTTTTCTACGTAATCGATATATATATATATCGTTTTTTTCTATCTCAGGTACGGATCTTATAGCGTGGATGATGAAGAGTCTGGACATAGACGATCAGGAGGCTCTTCATGTGGCTCATCTTATGGCAGCCCATGGGTATTTTTTTCCTATCGACGACCACTGCCTTACCGTAAAGAATGACAACACGTTCTATAGGTTTCAAACGCCCTATTTCTGGCCATCCAACTGTTGGGAACCCGAGAACACCGATTATGGTACAAAACGATGCTAATTAGTACTCGATGCAATTTTTTAACTTGTCATAAATCGCTTTGAGAGAAAAACTTTATTAGAAAAATACGAAGCTGTTATTTTTCTTTTTTCTGCTGTTCTTTTTTTCTAGCGTCGACTTTAGCGATTTGCACACTTGTGTCTTGTTTTGTTTGTTTTTTATTTAATATTGTTTCTTTGCTAGCTGTATACCCGGTATGTACTACGTTAAATGTTACAGCTGTCTATTTATGCAAAAGGACGATGCAGAACAAAACGCGATTGGAATTGGCAGACTACGAGGCGGAGAACTTGGCTAGATTGCAAAAGATGTTTTCTCGAAAATGGGAATTTATTTTCATGCAGGCGGAAGCGCAGAGCAAAGTCGACAAGAAGAGAGACAAGTTGGAGAGAAAGGTTCTGGACAGTCAGGAGAGAGCCTTCTGGGATGTGCATCGGCCAATGGTAATATTTTTTTTTTGTTGCTTTGTGTTTAAAATAAACAAGAACAAATCATTTAGATCAATTTTTTTTTTTTTTATCGTTTTCAAACTCGGATCTTCCGATAATTCTCTGAGATGATTAAATTTTTCAGCCCGGATGCGTGAATACCACGGAGATGGATATAAAAAAAGCTTGTCGTAGTTATAAGTCCGTTACACAACCAAGTAAGCATGTGCATCTGGGAGTCGCAGGTGGCAGAATATCGCCGTCCGCGGAAGCGAACGCGAACTCATCGATAGAATTTTTGCAGAAGGAGATCGAGATCCTGAAGGACAGACTCGACAAGCCCGTCATCAAAGTGTCAAAAGTGGCCGAGGCGTATGTATCATCACTTGTGTTTATTCGATACTTATCTTATTTCTTATCCAAAAAACAGAGTTTCCGCTTAAAATGTTTAATAATTTTTTTCAGATTAATCGGATATTTCGAGCAGTACATGGAGTACGACCCTTTCTTCACGCAACCCGAGTTAACGAACCCGTGGGTGTCCGATAGTCCGGAAATGTGGGAGCAAGAAAAATTAGCGTGAGTACATGTCGATGCGAAAACAAGTCTCGTTGCGATATTCGAGAATTTTGAACAACGTTATTTGAACGCAGGAAGGAAATACCGACGAGAAGAGTAAAGAGATGGGCGTTCAGTCTTCAGGAGCTTCTGCAAGATCCTGTCGGTAGAGAACAATTCGTACGATTTTTAGAGAAGGAATTTAGCACCGAAAATCTCAAGTACGTATATAAATCCTTGTGCGAGTCTTTTTTGTGTAACATTTTTTCTATAATTTCTTATTCGATCTCTTGCACGCGCAATATTTTATTTATTTATATTTATTTAAAAAACTCTTTATGATACAAAAACAAAAATCTAAGGAATCATCAGAGAAACGAGATGTTATTTCTGACATGTGCAGATTTTGGGAAACCGTTCAGGAATTGAAAACTTTACCGCAGAAAGACGTTCAGAAGAAAGTCGAGGAGATCTGGCACGAGTTCTTAGACACGGATGCCAGTTGCCCGGTGAACGTCGACTCGCGGTCCTACGAGATTACCAAAAGAAATCTCGAAAAACCAGACCGGTGGTGCTTCGACGTTGCCGCAGTACGACAATCTAATTAGACAACAAGTTTTATACAAATTTGTATTTTTTTATTTTTTTATTTTTTTTATCCATTATCTTTGCTATTCTGTTCTGCTTGTTTTCCAGGCGCACGTGTATCACCTGATGAAGAGCGACAGTTACTCGAGATATCTGCGCTCAGAAATGTATAAGGACTATCTCAATGGATCTAAAAAGAAGGTTAGCGTACATATAAATTTTTGTTCGAATCATATTAGCAAACAATTTATATATTTTATATAACTTTGCTCTCTTGTGAATTTGCAGACGTCTGTAAAAGGAATTCGTTCGATCGTTTCTTTCACAGGACGAAGGGACACAGCAACCTCGTAACTTGCCAATTTCTAACATCTGCGATAATCATGCGTTTCTACTTGCTATTCTCTTTTCTCTCACATTTTTTCCATGCATAATATTTTAAAGATACACACAAAAAACTCAGAGAAATCAGAGAATCTTCAGAGGAATTAAAAAAAAAAAAAAGGTGCTTTTTCATCTTCATCCTACACGGCAACAAATGTACAAGTAAATATTTTATATTGGTAAGAAACAAAAAAGATATTCCATTTTAATATCGCTTAAAAAAATTTACACGAACAATCGCTTCCAAGTCACAGTTGGTTCATGAAAAATCATTCGAGGAACCATACTTGCTATATCTCTTACCATTCGTTAATTAACATTTTACATCTAAAGTGATGTTAGATATTTTATCTCTACAATTACTGCAGTTTTTATTGCCAAACTTTTATATTACATATTTTTCTTACATGTTTTATTCGAAGAACGATTATCGGAAACGTTGAAAAACTTAAAAAGCTGCCGAAAAGCGACACTAATTATTTTCTTTTTTTTTTCTGTTAGAAGAAAAGATAATAATTTTTGAGCTTCGATACTGCTCTGTGCTTCGTTAAAACAACATATTCTATATACATTACGATATGTGGTTTTGAGCATATTGAGTATAAGTATAAAAATAATGTAAATATAAAACATTCTTTTAACTCGCGTGAGTGATGAATCAGATAAGTATATTAAACTATAATTACAATAGCGAATTGAAGGAATAAAAAATAGTAGAGTACATGTGAAATTGTACGGAGGCAAATTATTAATTGCAAAATCTCGTATCGGTGAAGGTCGAGAAGTGACGCAAGAGAATTGAAAACTAAAAAAAAAAAAAAAAAATCGACGACACGCATACATGTATATGTACAGAAATTTATATTTTGCATATAGCTCTACGTAAATAATATGTCAGCATTGCCGAGAAATATTTTCAAGAACAAAACTTATTTATAAAAAGAAACGTCATTCTGTATATTCGCGTTTGTTTTTCTCCTAGTTCGATTGTTATTATTATTATTATTATATTTGCATTCGACACACACACACACACACAGGAAACTTATATGTATTATATATACACACACATACACATGTCAAAGTCCTCTGCGTGAATTATAATAAAACAAACTTGAAAAAAAAGGAGTTCATCGATTGTCTTATTTAAAGAGATCGGCACTTTTTTTTTTGTTGTTTTCGAACAAAAGTTACAGCTGATTGGTCTACATCTTCGTCGACCTGCTGCCGTACGATTGTCGGGAAAATAAATGCGTTCTCGAGAATAAAAACTGAAAGAGTATAATTTCTCAGTCTGTCTGTGAGATGTATACATACGTATGTAAGCAAATTATGTACACTGAGAAGAAATGTGATCCATAGTCTCCATTCGTTGTTGATTTATGTCGTAAACGTCGATCGCACGACAGTAGCGCTATGGTCGCATCTCATTTTTATAACTATTAGTTGAAGATGTCTTTCATATCCAGACAATATATTTATGCGATTTATATCTATCGTGTCTCTATAACTGAGCTTTATAACGCGGTTTGAATCGGTAAAAACATTCCTGATCACTTTGGCACGAAGTCGTCTGACGGAACATGTAGATTATACTCTTACCTTAAAAACTCCTTACGGTAAGATTATTGTACACAATTCTCTCAGCGATATTTATATATATATATATATATACCTACGTTTTTTTTGTGTGTGTTACTGGCAATAAAAATTATTCTAGACTTATATTACGACTACTCGAGCAATGGGAAGGTCAGAAATACGATCATTCGTATTACGATCGTATCAACCACGGTGATTGGTCCCACAATCTAATTTGTCTAAGAACATCGAGTTTCATTCGAATCCCAAGATATACTCAATCGAATTCCCGACTACAGTTTCGTTTCCGAACAAGTTTCTCTCGTTCGCTTGCTGTTGCAGTTTCGTTCGATCTTACATCGCTTCGATATCTTTTTTATTGTTCCTCTTGATGAGCGGCACCACCGCCCAAAGCGCGGTGCCCAGGATCAGGATGATTCCGAAGGCGAGGAAGATCGGCTTGTACGAGCGCACCTCCTCGAAGACGACTCCGCAGATGGGCGGCCCGATGAGCTGCAGAACGCCGTTAATGAACAACGATATACCGTAGGACGAACTAAGTTTTTCGGTACCCAGCATGTCCGCCAGGATGACAGTTGTGATGCCAATGTACATGCCCGAGGACAGACCGAACAGGCCGCAGAAGAACGACAACATGGTGTAACTGGTCGCCATAGGCAGCAGCGCCAGAGCGATTCCGCTCGTGCCGAGTCCGCCGACGAAGTAGTAATACTTGGGCATGAAGTCGATGTCGGACAGGGACGCGCCGCTGATTCTGCCAACCAGATCCAACGCGGAAACGATGGACAGCAACAGAGCCGCATTGTTCTTGTCGATACCCTCGTCGATCGCGTACGACGGTAACAGTATCATGAAGTTCGTGTTGCTGATGGCCGACGTGGAGTTGGAGATCAGAATTACCAGGTAAATCGGATCCCTCAGCACACTCAGATCGAAGCGCGTCTTCCAGCATGTGTTTGTCTCGAGATTATTCTCTGGATTCTTCACCGACAATTTCGAAGATTCCTCCGCGTGTTTCCCGCCAGTGTCGTCCTTCGGATTCTCCGTTACCGAAGAATTAAACTGCTCCTTGTTGTCTTTGGCAATGGCGCTATCTCGTCGGGATACAGTCCGCACGTCATTTTCCGCTAGATTGCTCGCCACGTTCGTGTTCAGATCGTCTTCCTGCTGAATCTCTTCTTGCGCGATCGGATTTTCTTTAACAGTGTCAGAAGACTGCGACTTCGGAGTGGCGTTGTTGTTCTTTTGGTAAGTTTCTTCCGACGATACCTCGTTGGTCGATTCCAACACCACTTTATGAAGAAGATCCGACAGTTTACGAGCTCGCTCGTCGTCGTCGTCGCCGGTTTGATCCAATTTCGAATGACTTCCGATTTTCTCAATCGATTCTCGCTTCCCGTTGACGGTCTCGTCGAGAGTAAGCGCTTCGTTGTCGATACCCTCGTCCAGAGGTACGATCTTCATGTGTTGCTGTACCGGATGGTACAGGAGACCGCAGATCAACGTGTTCAGCGTGATCGCGCCCATGATGAGAACCGCTCCTCTGGAATGCGATAAAGAAACCTGATTTAAGTACGTATCCAGTTTTATTGTCGCGTCTTGTTTTTGCGTCGGAAGAGAACGCGGAATATAATAATAATTTCGCAAATTATTTTGTGCAAGTTATGTTACCTGTATCCGAAGCAGTCCAGCAAATACTGCAAGAACGGCGGTAAGACTATGGTGCCGATCGCGCTGCCGGATATGCACAAACCGTTCGCGAACCCCCGTAGCTTCTCAAAGTACTGCGTGACGATGTAAACCGTCGGAGGAAATGACAATCCGGCGCCGATTCCGACCATAAGTCCGTAACTATACATGAAAACGTAATTAATTAAATTAATTGTCAGAGAAGATTACAGAAATGGAAAATGTGCAAAACATTAGCGGCTCTTTTTTCTTTTAATTAAATTAATTTTGTAGAGCTTGTATTATTATTATTATTATTATTATATTTGTTGTTGTATTAATAACGTTATCAGAGTGACCGTTTGGACGCAACGACAATCCGTACCTGATGTAAAGATAAGTGACTGAATTGGCGAAGTAGCTCAGCATCATCCCACTGGCCGCGAAGGCGCCGCCGATGAGAGTCACAGTTTTGTAGGAGTATTTAGTCGACAGTATACTAGATAAAGGACCTGGGCACACAGAACATTTTGTACTTTGATCTTTTATTCATTCACTTCAACTTCGCAGAGCCTGCAATTTCGTTACGGGAAGTTGGCGTTGGTTTTTAAATCAAATGCAAAAAAAGAAAAACTTCGTGTGCGCATCGTAAAAAAAAAAAAAAAAAAGTATAATTAACTGCTCGCAGCAGTTTTGCATAATAATGAAATATGGTTTTTGTGATGAATCATTATTTGCACGAATCGTGTATTCAAGAAAAAAAAAACAGATAATAATTGTACATTAATGTTTAATACTGTAATTCTTATCTCCCGACCTTGCCGCGTACGTATGTAAAAAAGAAGAATAACAAATGATCCGAGGAAAAACAGGACTTGAGTCATCGGGGGAAACATATATCTTTCTCGCACCTAACGAGCTGTACAGAAAGTAGCATAACGCCGGCATCCAGGAAGCTGCGGTGGAGGACGCCTTGAAAACGTGCAGAAATTCGACGAAGAGCACGCCGAAGGACTTGACGGTGCCCGGGATGAGAAAGTTCACGAGCATCGCGGAGAAGAGGATCACCCAGCCCCATCCGCCGTCCGGCGGCACCGTCTTCATTCTCTTTGTTTTCTTCTTCCGCCTCGCGGACATGTTTTCCAACGCGTTGCATCCAGACTGCGTATAAGTCCCGTGCGAATCCTCGCCGCTGCGAACACGTCAAAGGACAATGTCATCGCGTGGATTACAACAGACACACTTTCTGTCTCTTCGTCGCGAAGACGGGGGAGAGAGAAAGATCATTATCGATGTGTGATAGATCGATCTCTCAGGCGTCCTTGACGTTCTCTTTTGTGTTATTGGCTACATTTAATATTTTTATCTCTTCATTGAAATTTTATTTTTCGCATCCACATCAGAGTCACGTTTTACGTTTGTACCCGCATCAGAGTTACTCTGCGTAGTTTAATAAAAAACATACACACAAAAAACACAAATAGTCAATCCCAAATGTCAAAACGTGATTGTTGAGCAAATGCGAACCGTTTGCGAGATAAATTTAATATTTATATATTATTTTTTTTATTTATTGTATATTACGCAATGAAACATTTTCAATATTTCTCTCGTTCCATGGCGTTTCGACCTGTTTTTAATCATCTTCTCGCTGTACATCTGTAACGTAATAATGAAATTTAAATCAAAATAATGAATTTTTTCCAACCAAGAAAGCGCTGATTTTACGTAAATCATCATCGATGTTCCTAAATAAAGCGTAATGCGATTTTGTCCGCGCTCTCGATCGACGCGCTTTCTCAGAAGTAATTTTTCTTTCACGCACTTTAGCGCGTGTGTTCGCGCAAACGCGGCGTTCACCTGCACACACGCACGGAATTACGTACAATTTTCATTGGAACACGCGCTCGCGTATGGAAACCGTAACGTAAAACGTGTTTCAGCTGCCATTCACACGCCATCCGTGCCGTAACGCGCGACGCAGGAAAAACTCCCTCCGCTACGTATTTACGTGCGACGAGTTCTAAATATCGTTCAAGCGATCATTTGCGATCTATTTATAAACACGGGGGGAGAAAATCGCGGATTGCAAATTTAGAAAACCGACCGTTTTTCCCGGATACACTCGCTGCCAAGGCGGAAAAGCGCGCGACGCGCTTTCGTTTTCGGACCGCTCGAAGAACTCGCTCGAGGGGGGAGGGAGGGAGGCGGGAGGGGAGAGAGGGAGGAAAGAAAAATTCACGGGATATGTAAAAAAACCATCAACGCGTGCAATAAACCGCTCGCAAACGAATAAACAACAAACCTACATATCGAGAGGCGTTGGTAAAAAGATCAGAATGAAAGCCGGCGGAACGAGATTCTTGCGATCGTATTCTTCTATTTCGATAGAAAGTATACACGTATATATCGATAAACCCACAAATGTCGAAATTATAATTTGAATCCAACAAATTAATATTATGTTATAACACTCGGCGAACATATGTTTACTCGCCAAAAAATGTGATGTTACAATAAATTTCATTACAAAAACTTCATTACGAATTAGATTAGAACAGTTTTTCGCAACTTTAAACTTCGTCAGATGACAGATAATTGTGAAACAATTAACAAATGTTGCAATTAGCAAATATCCTTAAGTTACACACCGGTCCGGCTAAAAGGATAAAAAAATCGCAAAATTTTCAAATCGAGAATTGTCAGAATTAAAAAAGAAAAAGGCGAACGAAGGCTCGGATATTGGGTCATGTTGTTTCGGTGCCAATAATGCGCGGCTTTGATTATTTCGCCTAACTCTGGGGCCTAAGCGCGTTTAACACCACGAACGTGAAAAATTATAAATAGAAAAAAAAATAAAGTGCTTAGCGGTACCGCATTGACGTCTCGTCCCGATTCGTGTCTTTGTCGTATTAATTAGCATCTCGATGACGATCACGCATTTCGTTGCCACACGGTACTATCTTACGTTGGCTTCTCGACGGATATTCCGCGTGTCACACACGCCCGGCGCTATCGCGTGCGGTCGCGGCAGCTACTTTAGATTATTCGAACGATTATTGCGAGCCACGTAATGGTCGCAAGCTATTTTACGACCATTATGCGGCTGGTACACTCGAACTTTTCGTCACGGTATCTTATTTCTCGAATCTCTAATTTGGCCGAGAATTTTACCAGAAACTACAATTAACAGATAAACCACGAACTTACAGAGAATGTAATAGGCGTTTATCGCAAAGTTTCCGTAGTAAAGAACAATGTATTTTTTTTTTTTAACAATTAGCAACAATTTTGAAAAAATTAAGAGTAAATTATCACTTGTTGAGGTCTTTTTCGCAAAAATACTTAAATACAAAAAAGCGATTATTTTTTGTTGACTCTTGAACGTTTTTTTTTAATACATTTATGAAAAACACGCGATTTCTCGGGAAATCTGAGAGACCGCGAGTGAACGCGCGTCTGGCGAAGAATGTTTTTTCGCAATCTTCGTAAGAAAAGTCAGAAAAAAAAACATTTCTGCCACTCTCTACACGCTTGTCGGATTGATCTTACTCGGACTCTGTGATTTCTCGATTCTCGGAAATCGCATGGCGCCGCTTCGACGCCGGTCATCCGCGTCGTTTACGTATTCGCGCGTCCCCGGTACGTTTTGCGTCTGGTTTACGGCGCAACGGTGAGAAAAGTCCCGTAATCGGCCGCACCGTAGTTACGCAGGTGTATAACATTGCACAAGAAGAAGGCGTGTGCGCTGATGAAAATATCACGTCCGACTACTCCTATGAATGATTCCATTTACTACGGATGCGTAATGTGCGGATGCTCTTCCATGAGCGCGCGCGTCGTTTCTTTGATCCGATGCGACTTAAATCGGGTTTTCCGAAGCCTTTCTGACGGGTAGAGATACACCGCGTATCTTTCGACGCATTCTGAAGAAGAAGGTTGTTAACATTAGAACACCATTTTCAATCAGTACAGGTCATGTATAAAATATTCTCAGTCTTTTTCTTTTTCTCTCGCTTCTGTAAAAAAAAAAAAAAAAAAAAA